CGAATCGAAAGGAGAAATCATGAGAAAAATGATGAGAGAGGAGTGGAGAATCGATTTTTGCAATCAGTTGAAGGAGAAAACGCATGGAGAGACAGATCGAAGTGGCGGCGGCGTAAGGGTTTGGTCCGGCGACGAAAGCATGCAACAGATCGGATGAGATAAAAAAACCAGGTGAAAAAAGCGAAAAAGAAACCTAGCAAAAAAAACCGAATCAGGAAAAAACAAACAACGAAGAAAAAGAAACCGGATAAAAACAGCAAAAAAAACACGACAAAACGAATCGAAAAAAAAGGAGACACGAAAAAAACGAATAGTAGGCGACGATGCGTTACGGTCATGAGAACAAAAAAAAAGGAAACATATGCTTAGGCTGAAAAAAAAACGACGACGGAAGCAATTGGGATTCTAATTAACGGACCAAATAATCTGGCAAAAACATCTTAAACTTTTATAATAGGTAAATATATATTGTTTTAAGGGATTATATATTTGTTTATTGAAAATTCATGGAACCCCCTTTCAACTAATTTGTAAGAACACCCTCAATGTATTTTTATTAGAAAAGTCGACCCTTTGGTTTTGATGATGTGGCCTTATGGTCCTTCAAATGCTTAGGAGGAGATATCGTAATTTTATTTGACGCTATAGACCATCTTGATCCTATATTTAACCATTAAAAAGTTTTGAGTTACGATTTTTTGATAAATGTAAGTAGTGTAGTTATATTTAGTATGCAAAGTATTTTGATAATACAATATATTTTAAAATATTCATTATTTGTTTTTATAAAAGAATATGTGCGTGTGATAAAAAATAACAGAGGTAATAGCGACCATACCGCAAATTAATGCCTATTTGGTATCGCAAAACTGCTTACATTTTTAACAACTTTTTTATGAAACCTATCACAGCTCAAAATAGTTCATATTTGTAGTAACTTTTTTTTATTAAACTTAACACGGCTTTTGCATTACTCACGATGCTGCATATGATAGGTTGGTCAAGCCCCACTCTGATTCATGACTTCATTTGGAAGTCTCAATCATGACTTTATCGTGTTCTACACGCTATAGTTTCAAGTTTTTTTTTCATCTCTTCTTTCATATAGCATCATGTATTGTAAAAACATAGCACAAAAGATAGCCATGCCATCATTTTTGTTTTGGCTCATATAGTGCTAGCAAACCCACTTTTATTTAGGGGAGATCCATATTTTTAGCCCAACCAATGTGAAAGCTCAAGTAGGGGGCAAATCGGCAAATCTAAATATCCAACCAATAGATATTGTAATTTAAGGACCTAGCATGAATAGGAAAGTCCAGTCGATAAACTGAAAAAAATATAGATATATATGATAATATATAATACCTTTAGCCCCAACTATAGACGGTAATATCTTCTCCTTAAGGATGAGAAAGAACATTTGGAACATTTTTTTAGTTCAAAACCTTTGTAAAATATTCAAACAGCCTTCTTTGCAGTGTGCACCCCTTGTACATAGGGCATAGGTGTCTTGTATTACTCTTCAGTAAGAAAAAAATTATGAGCAACATTTTACCAAAATGCTCCAGTGAAAGTGTTATGGAGAAAATACAATAAAAATCTAAGCTAATAGTTATTACTGCCTTTCCAGTAACTCAGGCAACAGCTTTTACAAGTTTGAGATGAAAATTCACAGGAAAATTTACTCCAAATCATGTCTCACACTACAAGAGAATTGAGCTATCGCCACCAATTTATTACAACAAAAAATAATTCGTGGTAATATATTATACTATCGCAATGATATTTTTTCTGTGGCAAATAACTATACTTTGTTGCAACGATTTACAATCATTGTTTTATTCAGTATTTTTGTTGCAATAGGAAATGAGCTATCGCCACAAAAAACATTACTATTGCAAAAAACATGTTCTATCGCCACACATTTAATTTTTTGGCAATTTGTATAGTACATGGTACTTTTCACTATTTTCTATTGCCATGATCAACAAATTCGTTGCAATAAAAAATTTATCATCTCATAATTTGACTTATTCTTTTCATATGGACACGGATTAGGACAAATTTTATATGAAATTTATAGCTCTCGATGAGATCTACAACTTAAATTTTTCATTTGAAATATTTTAAATACTCAAATTCATGATTCAAATCTCAGTTAGTTAGTCTCAAATGGAATTGTATGCATTTTTAAACAAAATTGATGCGTATGTGAATTGGTCATGGAGAGCGTGCGTGAGGGAGAGATCTTGGGTTCGAATCCTGGACATGACAAGATATCAAAAGAAAATAATTAGGATGATAAGTTAATATGAAAACATTTAATTTGCTACGTATAACTAATGCCACACATGGAGTGGTAGCAATAGTTATTTATTGCAACCATGTGAAGTGTTGCAATATATATTTTTTTGCCACATCCATTTTATGGCAATATCAAATTTTATTACAACTAAATAAAAATCGTTGCAATAACCTATTACCACGCTATTTATTACCAAGGCTAGCAACGATTTTAAGATTGTGGCAACATTGATCTATTGCCACAATTTTAGTATTGATGTTACTATTTTTTTCGTGACGATAAATTATTTTTCTAGTAGTGTCACCATCGCTAGTACCTAATCAACATTAAAAGAGGAAATTTCAATATTTCATAGTGTTGGGACCCAACATTTTTGTTCACTAGTATTTATTATCTTCTTTATACTCAGACTTTGGGTGATCTCCTGGATGGCGACCTTCATAAGAAACAACCAACGCTGCCTCAAAATCAAACACCTATTTTCCCTCTTTCTAACAAATTGCAGGACTATCGAATTGTTGTTTTTTGTTGGAAGGTGCGTTCATGACGTCCTTGCTACTGAACCCAAAGCTTTCACGTATCTTGTTTTGCCATCAGGTTTCTGCAAGGAAGATATTTTTCACAAATATTTAATGCAAAATAATAGCATGCCTTGAAATCGTAATGGAAAAAAAAGGCAGCATCAAATAGAAAAACAAATCCAAAAAAAAGTTGCACAAAGTTTTGAGCTGTGATCCTGAATAGTTAAGCTGATATATACTCCATATCAAAGTTAGTTAGCGCTCTTACCACATCAAGAATTTGAGATATTAAGATATGTTTGATCTACTATATCTTAAATTGACTAGTACAGAAGCACCAAAACATCCCCTACAAGACTTTGGCCTAAAAAAATGACTTCAAGACTACAAATAGTAGGTGCCTAACAATGTTTGGAAGCATTCGCTGCTTCACTCAACATCTCAACCACCATGATATTATAGCACATAGCACATGCATTTGCACTGTTCCATTCAGCCAAACATGCCGGTGTCAAAGCTTAGTTTTTTGAAAGTTCAGTGACCAAGCTTCTCGGTATAGTCTAATGCATCAAACGATGGTTGGTTCACCCAGAGGCTAAAAATGGTTGAGAGCATGATGTAAGATGTTGAGCATGTGAACGAGAACTTGTACTGTCAAGCGATGATACTTCAGAGTATGCATTACTTTCATGCAAGAGGGGAACATTGCCAATCAACTTTGCTGAAAAAAATGAGACAGCTAACTGAAATCCTATGTAGACACATAAAGAAATACTACTAATATATATTGCAAGCAAAATCCCAGTCCATGAATGACTTGAAGTTGTATGTACTAACTCTTTTGAATTCCCTCATCAAGTTGGTCTTTTCAGTTGATCATTACTGAATGAAACAATTTGATCATAAGGAATAAATATTCATCAGCATCGATCCTGTAGTATTACCAATACGCCACACGAACAATTTTGCATAATCAATATTCAATTAAAATCATGCATACCCTCCTCTATTCCCACAAGATGGTTGGAGCAAAGCTATTAGCTTGAACTATTCAAATATGTGATCGCTAGATACAGCTTTCGATGCAATTATGCAAGTCGGACCATTTATTCGCCCACCGAATGTTCTCAACTTGCAGTAGTAGCATGTTATAAATATAAACCATATCATGTTATTGGTCTAGCTAAGCAATAGTGCGCAAAAAAGAGGTTGAGCTAGCTATAATATGATAGTGCAGATTATAGATCTTATGTTAAAAGCATACTCACATGTCCATCCTACATCCCAGGTTCTTCTTTGAGAACTGTGTCATTTTTCAGACTGAACTGCTGATTTAAGACTGGCAAGATAGCTTTTTTTTTTCTTCTATTTGAAGAGGCAGTTTTCATATGACAAATAAATGTCACCAATTATCAACAGAAAAGGGTGTGTAACCTTACCAAGTCACACCTTAGCAAGTAAACTCTATGTGTAAACCTCCTAATTTTTCGTAATGACAAAATTCAGGTGGGGAAGCTCTCCCCCGGTGATTTAGTCAAAAAAAAAAAAACACCTTAGCAAGTAATCCAGTGGGAACACAGCAACGCACCTTTTTTTGTTTTTGTTTGAGGAAGTAGGCCTCGCCTCACACAGTCACACCTATTCAGAACTTCATGTCAGTACTGTCATTTAACTTGAGAATAGAACACAGAACAGGCAATACATGAATGGAACCCATAAGTTCCTCACACTTGTGAATTTGTGATGGACATTCAAAGCAAAAACAGAAACATTATGGAGGGAAAATTCAAGATCTTCACCCTCAGTCACCTGCCCTGCATTCCTTGGCAAGATACATCGTCAATGTTCAAACCTCGACACCAAAAACCTCCAAATCGGTCCGAGTCAAGTATCACTCGGTTGACCACTAGCAGCCTCGTAACGTTTGCCTCATTTCATCAGGTGGCATCAAACATTCGATTATCAATCAGAAGCAGGAGAATCAAACGAAATAATAAGCAGGTAGTACATCAACGAAGAGAACTCCTTTTCCAACCTGTTAATGGGCCTGACTGGGCCTGAAAGGCTAGAATCGGAGGCCCAATAAACTGCCACGAAATCCTAGCCGTCCAAATCAAATCAGTGGCTAGGATTGCTTGACGCAGCTCTCGTGCCCTTTTATACTTGCAACTGCGAGGGATTCTCGCCTCCTCCGCCGCCACACCTCCACCTCTCCTCTTCCTTCCCCTCGCCGCCGCCGCCTTCTCGTCGACGCAGCCATGTCGGCGGCGCAGCAGCAGAAGCACGAGGTGGACCGGGCGACGGTGGCCGGAGCCGTGGCCGCGCTGTTCAAGTGGATGCGCGCGCGCGCGGCGGAGGCTCCACCGAACCTCCTCGCCGACGAGCGCGACGACCTCCTGCTCCTCCAGCTCTCCCTCCGCCGCATCCCGCCCTCACCGACGACCAAGCCGCGCCTCCTTCCGCTCCCCCACCCCGTCATCGTCCCCGGCGAGTCGGCCTCCATCTGCGTCATCTCCGACGACCGCCCCAAGTCCCGCTCCCCGGCCGCCTCCGACCTGCTCGACGCGTCCAGGTCCCACCACCTCCCCGTCTCCGAGGTCATCCCGCTCTCCGCCCTCCGCACCGACTACCGCCCGTACGAGTCCCGCCGCCGCCTCGCCGCCTCCCACGACCTCTTCATCGCCGACCGCGCCGTCCTCCCGCTGCTCCCGCGCGTCCTCGGCAAGGCCTTCTACTCCACCAAGAAGGCCCCCGTCGCCGTCGACTTCGCCCGCACCGGGTGGCTGGAGCAGGTCCGCAAGGTGATGAACTCGACTTTTCTCTACCTGCGGACGGGCACCTGCTCTGGGATCAAGGTTGGGAGGCTGGACATGAAGGAAGAGGACACCGTGGAGAATGTGATGGCGGCGGTGGAGGCGGCCGTGGAGAATGTGCCCAAGAAGTGGGCGAATGTGAGGTCTCTCCATTTGAAGGCTGTGGATTCAGTTGCATTACCAATTTACCAGGCTGTGCCGGAGTTGGGCATGAAGATCGAGGTCCGGTTTGCACAATTGGAGGGAGAAGTCGGTTCCGGGGAGGTTATCGATGCTTCGGAAGCTGGAGCTGCACTGAAGGGTGTCGGCAAGAAGAAGGCGAAGAAGGCATTGAAACATGTGGAAGAAGAGAATGCTGGTGAGGAAGCTGCACAGGAGAGTGGCAAGAGGAAGAGGGGTAAGAAGCAACTAGCTGAGGATTTGATGGAGCAAGACATCCAAGATGTGAGTGAGAAAAGGAAGAAGGTGAAGGAGGGCACCCCTGCTGCCGAAACGCCGAAGATTAGCAAGAAGGGTAAGGAGAAGAGCAAGCGTGCATTGGACAAGGAGGGGGAGGATGCAAGTGTGGAGGAAGCCAGTAACAAGAAAAAGAAGGGCAAGAAAGAGGTGGTGAGTGATGTTGGGGAGAAGAACAGCAAGGTGAAGAAATCAAATGGTGATAAGGAGAAGAGAAGGACCAGATTAAGGGTATAGGTTTTATTCTCTATCTCCTGAGAGATGCTTGTGATATTGGTTGATCGACAGTGTCGTGATGTTCATCGTGTTGATTAGCTGGGCTAATCTGATAGTTTATCTGCTGGCAGAAGAACTATGCCACTGTCAAGTTTTTGGTAGCCTTGTAGTACTTTATAAGATCTCCAATCTACCGCAGAATGTTCTACTTTTGTGTGCACTAGAGGTGTCTTCAAAAGTTGTATCTTTTGTTTTTGTTAGCTTACTAGCCTGACTGCCTGAGCCTTCAGGTTAAAGATAGTATGGTAAAACTGTTTCTGGCTTCATGTGGTTCGCATCAATTTTGTGATCATCTAAGAATATGTCTCAGTTGTTGTCTTCCCTGAATTACTCATCTAGCATATGCTGTACACTTGGAACCCAGTTTCAATAGGAGCTGGGCTGGGCCATTTGTACTCTCTTACTTTGCATGACTTGTGAGGCGATGGAATGGAATTGAATTGCTGCATGCTGTTTACCTTCTCAGTGTTTATCATCCCTTGTGGCTTGTAGATCTTCAAGCAAAGAGCAGAAGTGAAACTAAGACAAATAAGACATGTATAAATGGAGATTAGATTTTTCCCACATCATCTGTTGTGTTGTAAGTTCCAAATTGTTTTTCATGTCAAGTGGTTGATTACAAGACATGAAAACTGCCAACATAGGCAGTTTATTTTGCTCCATGGGAAGCTTGAAAAGATTTGCCTGCATGGACTGGTTTAGATCATTTGGCAAACTAGCCACCGGCTGGTAAGCAGTAACCTTTTTTTTTTTGTTGTTGCTGTCAATGCTGAAAAACAGAGTATGATAAGAAAATCTCAAAATTTTAACTTTTCAAAATTTGATAAGCCAGCAAGCAAAACATTGAAGAGTTGGAAGCTGCAGTTCCTGATGGGCAACTCTGCAAAGGTTCAAAGGCTCAAAGGTTGCATCTTTGGCCTTTATGTTTTAGCTATTTAAATGTCAATGCTAAAAAAAATAGAGTATGATAAGAAAATCTCAAAATTTCAACTTTTAAAGTTTGATAAGCCAACAAGCAAAACATTGAAGAGTTGGAAACTGCAGTTCCTGATGGGCAACTCTGCAAAGGTTCGAAGGCTCAAAAGGTTGCATCTTTGGCCCTGGAAGAGTTGGAACATCTTGGAAAGCCAACTTGGCAAGCTCGAACTGCCCTAGTCTAAGAGCAAGGATAATAATGGGCTATAAGGGCACCCACAATGATTATCTATAAGCTCTCTACAAGAGATCCATGTTAGCATATTTTTCTACTTGAAAGAGGTTAAATAAAGAGAAAGAGCAAAGCTAACGAGGCAATGGATTAGAGAGCTATAGATACCTATATAGACATACCATTGAAGTGGTTTACTATAAATCTAGTCTATTGCTGAGATGTACATATTTTATAGATAGCATCTTACTTTACCATTGTGGATGCTCTAAGCAAGCTATATGCTTATATGGAAGAGAGAGATAGGAAAAAGTGGGTAGTGTTGGCTCTCATACAAGAGCTAGCTCCACACAACCTCCAAGAAATATGCATTAAATTTATAGAGTGAGAAAGAGAGAGAATGGAAAAAATAAAGTTAACCTGTTGACTTATTATACAAGTTAAGTAACAGTGAGCTTTACTATTAAACTTGTTCTAAGCGGCGAGCCAACCAACCAGAGCGCGACAAGACCACACAACACAAGCAAACACTGGAAGCGGGGTCACTGCTCATTCAGATAGGTTCAAAGATTTCCAGAGAAGCTTGACCAAAACTTTTCCCGGAGTATGGGCGCCGCTCCCACCGGCCACCACGCATGGCGCGCCACGGAAGCCCCGCTCGAGCGGACCATCCCCACGCGGCGCCCATGCGCCTCACCCGCGCGTCGTCGCGGCGTCACGTAGCGCAGGCAAGCCAGTTCGCCGCGGATTGTCGTGAGGGCTTCTTTTTGACCTCGTTCCCTACCTCCATCCATCCACGCACGCCGCCCCCCACATTGGGAGAGACAAAAGGCGGGACGCTGATCGAGCTTCTTCTCGGGATTTTAGGGTATGTTCTTGCTGTGTTTTCCCTCCCCTGTATTCGTGATAACGGTGCGTTCTTGAGGCTACTTCGGTTTGCGCTCCACGTGTTCGGTGAAATGCCTGTGAGAGAGGAGGAAGATTCAGTACTCATGCCTCTCCTACTCTCTTCTTTTATTCTGTTGTTGTTTTGATAATTTGTCTGGTCTTCTTGATTATTTTGTTAGATTGCAGATGCCAAACGGCCGCAGGTCTGTGATTGTACCAGCCCAAATATTGCATTCCTAGTTTCTCTTAACAAATGCCACTCGAATGTGATGCCAAAGAGCCAATATTGACAACAAATTAATGTTGGCTCTTGCCTTGTGCACCACAGCAATGAATGAATGACAGTTGTATAATAGTTTGTGAGCCATATGACCAAATGAAGATTATAGTCATAGACATGTAGGCAATCCATCTCTCTTGATACCGTAGTGTGGATGTATGCTGAGTTGCTGACATGTCCATGTTTTGTTAGGAAGGTAAAACAACACGAGTGATGCTCTTTGTCATTTTCATCCTGGAACACATATGGAGGACTATTTTTCACGCATCCTAGACCTTGCTTGGCAGTTACGACATCAACTGACACGATTAATAGGTACCAAGCATATAGTGCCCTTGTTGATTATAATAAAGCAGAATATAGCCTGCTAATGTTTCATTCTATATTGCTGTATTTTCTCTGCGGAAAGGCTAAAAAACTGTCGACACATTTTTCTTTAGAAATATATCGATTTCTGATCCATTAGATCAACTGTAAGATTCGTGCTATTTTGGTTGACGAAAATAAAATTGTACTGCAAAGAATCGAACCTAGGATTTCCGGTGGCTTGTCCAGCGGCCTTGACCAACTGATCGAGCAAAGATTTTGGCTTGAATTGAAATTACATACTAATTACACTTAAATTACATACTATTTACATATATAATTTAGAGACTTACATTGTAAATACACTAAAATTACATATGTAATTTAGAGACTTACATATGTAATTTTAGGACTTACATTGTAAATACACTAAAATTACATATGTAATTTATGGGCTTACAATGTAAATACATGCCAACTATTTTTTGGTGAAAAATATGGTGCCATAAATATAGCTACTCCCTTTTCTCTGTGCTAATTCCGAATTACCAGCTCCCTGTAAATAATGGACACTTTCCTTTTTAGTTTACACATAGAGAATTTGTTGGAAATTTGATTAGTTCGTTAGCTACTAGATATGGATTTAGGATGGGCAACCAGTTATGATGAACTTGATTGGCTCTATAAGAAACACACTCTCAATATGAAATTTGCATATACTTATTCGGTTATTCCTCTTGAGTTTTCTTTATATTTTTTTTACATGCTGATACTTTTTTTTTCCATGCCAGAACATGTGTTTGGGTATATTGATTGGATCCCAGAACATCATGGATTCCAGTTCTCTCCTTGTTATAAAAGATCATTACCTGCCACCGAAAGATACATCCGTGGAGAGGCTCCCTTGCTGTCTGTCAGTAATTCTACAGAAGACCAGACCCCAAATGGACTATCTGAAGCCATTGTTGTCAGAAAAGGCTTGTCCAGTATTTGTCAAAGGTTTAGTTTTTCTTTCTAACTTCCTAATCAGAACGTTAATAATATACATAATTATTTTTATTCACATTGCAACTATTTGTTCTGTCTGATCATATGGCAGGTTTCCCAGTTTTTTGCATGACTTCAGATTGGGACAACAGTTGGCATTCCATTTGCGAGAACTGTGCAGTGCTGTTGCAAGTGAAATTCATGCTAAACTAGCTAGGTTAGTTGCTGTCTTCAAATTTCCAACTTTTATGTGTTGCATCCGTTCTAGTCCATGTGATGAATTTCTGTTTGCTTGAGCCAGGTGCTAAAAAACTGCTATATGCTTGCAGGTTCTTACATCGTTTCTGGACAACATTACAGGGATCTTCTAAAGATATAGGATGGCTAAAAAGAACAAAAACATTGCCTTGTTCAGTTGATGGTACAGATCGTTTCAAGGAGCTTTTGTATGGCATCAGGTGATCTTTTGTTCATGCCTATTAAAGTACCACTGACTTTATTTGGAGAGTACTATCTTTTACGGACCCTACATGTAGAACTACTCCTATCTAACAACAATAGGGAATTGAGCCACTGAACATCATTTACGGAAGTAACAGATTTATTCCTGGTATCAATCCATATGGAGGTCCAACATTCAATTATTATCAGTTCATGCAAAGACCAATGATACTAAAAGAAGCTTAATGTTTCAGAAATGGCATGCATCATCTTCCTAACACACTGGTTTACTTATTCATCCCTGGTGAGACATTTTTTTTCATTTTTTGCAAATGATGTTAAAATGCCTAGCTTTATATTGGTTCGCTGCCCTTGTGCAGGACTTTTTAGTAATCACAGTCCACTTTACTTCGTCAATACGAAAAGAATCTTTTCGAAGATGGGGCTTACTTGCCATATTGCAAGGATTCATAGTGAGGTAACAGAGCTCAACAGGGGTACATGCAAACAATTTTCTCATGTTTACCAAGCTCTAGATTGTAGCATTTCTTCTGTTTGTCCCTGTACTCACCTTTCATTTCGCCCAGGCATCAGTGGAGAAAAATGCACGGGAACTGAAATTATACATTGAAGAGCTGTACTGGGGTTCTGGTAAACAGGTGTTGCTCCTGGGCCATAGCAAAGGTGGAGTTGATGCGGCTGCGGCGCTTTCGTTGTACTGGTCTGAACTCAAGGGCAAGGTTGCCGGACTGGCATTGGTTCAGAGCCCATATGGTGGCACCCCAATAGCTTCCGACATCCTTCGCAAAGGCCAGATTGCTGATAAGGAGACAAGGAGGATCATGGAACTGATAATATGCAAACTCATCAAGGTCCTCATTATCCTGGTCTCTGTGTTACCTAATCAGATCAAACCTTTATGACTGAGTTATTAGGCAAATCTTTCAAAAAAAGGACTTTATGAATTGTTCATATATCACTGTTTTCTCATATTCTTGTGCATTTCATATCATGATCTTAACAAGTAAACAAATGCAGGGTGATATAAGGGCCTTGGAGGATCTCACATATGACAAGAGAAGGGACTTCATCTCCAAGCACAAGCTCCCCGTGGACGAACTGCCGATCATCTCCTTCCACACCGAGGCCAGCACCGCCCCGACGATGCTCGTGACATTGTCGCGCGTCGCCCAAGCCGAGCTCCTCCCATGGCTCCCATTGCCGCGGTTCCTGTCGTCATCGGAGTACGCCGAATCGTTGCTCGCCTCTCTGAAGCTCCCCGTGGTCGTGCCGGCCTCGGCGGCCATGGCCGTCAGCGCGCTCCACCTGAGGCTGCGCTACGGCGAGAGGAGCGACGGCCTGGTGACGCGGCGGGACGCCGAGGTGCCCGGGTCGGTGGTGGTGAGGCCGGAGAGGAGGCTGGACCATGCGTGGATGGTGCACTCCACGCTGAGAAAGGATCATGCCGAGGCTGATGCCACTCAGATGTGTGAAGCCCTGATGGCCATGCTCGTTGAGATTGGGAGGAAGAAATGCTGCTGATCATAATCTTACAGTTTCTTGGTTAAATTCAAGTTTGAACTTGAGTTTAAACCAAACTTAGGATCCAATGCCATAATCATAGATGATGTTACAAGGCAGTTTACAAATACAGAATGATTTCCACTTTGAAGGACCAATATAAAATGCTCTTTATTTCCCCCGAAAAAAAATACTACAATATATTTCGTGATATGCTGTAACTGCTACCATCATTTTTACTCCCATTTAACTTTTAACAACTTCCCTTTCAATGAAATTCAGGTGGGGCTCCCCGGTGAAAATTCAAAAAAAAAATATTTCGTGATATGCTGTACAGTTTGTTTAAAATGGACAGGTACAATTTCTGCACTTCTACATTCTTGTATGCCAAACTGCCGATGAAGATAGAAGAGCAATGCAACATGCAAAGCTGTAAGCCGAGAATACGCGTTCTGTCCCGCTCAGTTACGCCTTCACCTCTAGAAAGCGTAGACTCATTTGACGTTTCTCCCCGATACGTGATAAAGAGGGCCCACTGTCAGTGTCACACTCCTCGTCTCCTCCCCTTAAACCCTCGTCAAAACCGCTGCTTCAGAGAATATTTCCATTTCTACCCCTTCCTCCCCTTCGCCTCCCTCTCCGCCGCCGCCGCCGCCGCCGCAGCCATGGCGACGCGGCGATGCCTCCTCCGCCTCCTCTCGCGCCGCCTCCTCGCCCACACCCCTCAACCCGCGTCGCTGGCCTCGATCGCGACGCGAACCCTAGCCTCCTTGGCCAAGCCCCTCGTGCCGCAGGCATCCCGCGTCCTCGCCTCCCCCCGCCTCTTCCCCTCGCGCTGCCACTACGCGTCGAACCGATCCTCCGGCGACGAGGAGGAGGGGGACGACGACGATCACTACGACGAGGAGGGGAGCGGGGATGAGTGGGGGGAGGAGGAGGAGGAGGCCGTGGCGGCGAAGCCCCCCAGCGGGAAGACGGAGGAGGAGAAGGTGGCGGAGGCGGCGGAGATAGGGTACACGGTGGTTGGCCCGCTCGGTGCCGACGAGAAGCCCTTCAAGCCCTACGAGCCCGTGTTCGCCGTCGTCCAGGTCTGCTCAGTTTGTTTCCCAAGCTTTCGTTTTGCATTTGGGCGTGGATCTAGTGGGTGATTGGATGCGTTTTTTTTAATCCCTGCAGATTGGTTCGCATCAGTTTAAGGTGAGCAATGGCGACTCGATCTTCACGGAAAGGTTGAAGTTTTGCGATGTGAATGATAAGGTAATTGTGCACTTTGAACGCAACCGATCACATTTATTATGACTGAGAGTGTGTTCGATAACTTGATCTGTAACAAGCCGCAACTTATAATTGATAGGGAATAGTTGAGGTTATGAGATCATGTTTTAATAATTAATACGGAGGTTTATCTTCTTTGGTCATTTAGGCGAATTGTACCCACCAGGGAAGTTTCAAGTTCTGATCTGATTGTAAGGCACTTGTCATTTGAAGATTTGTAATTGCATGCAGTGCATGATCTGATATTTGGTATATTGAACCCACCGTGATTCCTCAGAATTTCTGCTAGCACTTTTTATTGTTTAATTATGTTTCATTTGTGATGGGAACTCTGAACTTCCATATTGATGGCTTAAATCGTTTGTTCAATAGAGTACACAATTTTTTTTTGGATAAACATTTTCCATACATAAGCTGTTTAAGTCGCTTCAAAAATGGGTCGAACATTGAAATTTAAGCACGCAGAGTATTTTGATGAGTTTGTGGCTACTCGTTTTAGTTGCTCTAGTGCCAGTTCTGAAACTGTTCCATTATTGCTGGTGCCACTGGTTCTGTGTACTTCTTGTACTTCCATTTTCATTTATAACTTTGTTGATGTTGTTTGTGTGATCACTTGGTGCAGTTAATTTTGAATCGAGTTCTCATGCTTGGGTCACAATCTCAAACAGTCATTGGGAGGCCAACTCTTCCTGATGCTACTGTTCATGCTGTCGTTGAGGAGCATGTAAGACACTTCTTAAACTCTATTACTCCATTTTTTTTTTGGGGAGTATGTTATTCAGCCTCTTCATTGAACTAAAGTTCATGAAATAACTGTTAAGACTTATTTGTTGAAACAAGTTTGCAAGAACATCTGCTAAGTATTAGGTCTGCATTTTTCAAATCATGCTAACATCTATATATATTTCTGGTGCATCTGAATCCATGTTTATCAAGGAATCATTAATATGCATGGAAACCTCCTTTTGCATGACCTAGGTATATGAGTGATTGTTGTGTTTGAAGGCTGACAATGCTCTAGTAATTGTTTATTATACTACCATCATTAAGGTTGGAAATGCGTGCTGTAGTAGGACTACACACTAAAGAACTAGGTAGTGTTAGAATTCACAGAAACAGCAGTGCATATACACTCTCCCTTTGATATGCTACCATCAGCTGATGATTGGAACATGCAAAGGTATATACATCTACATGCTTTGAGCATGTTCTGAACAGTATATTGGTATCTTCAACATATATTTGTAATGTGTCAGTCGCATCGGATGTCTACTTTACGTATATTTTGTATGTGATAATGGATAACAGAGTTTTTTTTGTCACTTCTATATACCAAGAGCTAATTCATTGGACTTTGTTGTTCTTATTGCTACCTTTCATGATTCCTCTAAACTTCCAAAATTTAACTGAAATGGAATGCTTAATACTTGTAACATGATGTACATTTTGAGGTTAATTCTCCTACTTATGCTTTGGATTTTCGTTTTTTGTAATGCGTACAGAAACATTGGCATTTGGTTGACAAATGATATACCTTCCCCAAGCGTGTCTTAATCTTTTCGTTAATACACATGGCTTTTTTTTTTTACAACTAGTACAATCGGTTCACATGGTAACATCATTACATAATTTCCAGCTCAAATTGGATTGACATTGTTTTTCAGGCCCTAGATGCAAAGGTTATCATATTCAAAAAGAAAAGAAGAAAAAATTACCGTCGAACAAAGGGCCATCGTCAGGTAATTTTATATCAGCTGTTTACATTATTCTGTGTTCTCAAAATAAAATATGATATTATTGATATTATCCTCTGCACTATTTAGTTCTTACTTTATGCCCTGACAATTTTTAGGAATTGACAAAGCTGAGAATAACCAACATTGAAGGAATAGATAAGTCAGAGGCCACTGCTGTTGCTGCTTAAATTAAGATGAATAATGAAGGAACATGGCTTCATGCCCAGGCAGTCCTTCATACTGGTTTTAGTGTCCAATCAAATCTTGATGCGGCGTGCTGTTGCTTATTGTCAGTCACTGATTGAAAGAACCATATCTGAAGGTCTTGTCTATGTATCCACATTTTGGGAACGGGCCACTCAAGCTATGCCCTTTCTCACAATGCCAATGTCTTGACCAGTTTGGATATTCTGATGTGGATCACATCTTGTAGTTACAGCCAAACTAACTTTTTGTTTTCTTTCTCCATTTACTAGCGTACCTCCTTGAATGTGTTCCAATGCATCAGTGCCATGTATACCGTTCTAGCCATGAATAATGAAACTGAAAGTTTGTGGTTCCCATCTATTTAGAAATCTGAACTGAAATTGTACATGCTTATGCTAATACAACCAGATGCGATGATATATAAATAATATGGAGGGGTGTCGCCTGTAACTTGTAAAGTGTTAACAAAAATCTTCAAAACATACTGTGACAGTTTCCTGTGCAGTTCTTGCATCAGTTCCAGCTTCCTGAAACATATTGCACAAGTTCTTCCTTCAGTTCCAATTCCCATGTTAACTATCCCAGCTTACTGAAACATCAGATTTGCTCATGTTATAGAGGAATTGAAAGTCGATATCCATCGATGTTATAGAGGATATCAGACTTACTCATGTTCATATTTGCAGAACTGACTCCACTTCGTTTTAGCTGCTATTATATGCTCTCTTTTAGAAGAGGATGCCACAGAAGAAAAACCAAGTAAATTTAGTATAATGCTTTGAGGATAGCAATCTAATATCGATCAGATTACTGTCTTTATCATATCATTTTTCTTAATCGAAACAGGGTTACTCTGTCTGAGCTATCCGTTCATTGTACCATCTAGTTCTGAAGTTAATCTGAACGCTAGATGCGTTGTGGTTCTGAAGTTGCAGTCAGTGTGGCACTAACTTTAGAAACAACTTAAAAAAAGGTTAAAGAACTCCCAGTGGATGTGTTATTATCATTTTGCCTTCTGTCACTTTCACACAAAGTACCATACTTTAGTATGCCCATGAAACCTACATGACCATAAGAGTTTATCTACCTGTAAATAAAAAAAATTCATACTATCCTCTCATTTTCTCTCGAGTCAACACAACCACCTTTAAGGGTGAAAACGGAGCGGATTCGGTCGGATAGTAGTCATACCATATCCTAAACCATATTTTTTAAGCAGATTCGGAGCGGGTGCGGATAGCGTACGGATGCAGAGCGGATTTGTTTCGGATGTGGGAAATGATGCGGAATCAGTTCGGAAATGGATTAAATTTATCGGATGTTATAAGTGTATGCAATCAATACAACATCGAGTTAGCAATGCAAGGAACAATAATACAATAATCAATAAACGACCCATCATAATAATTATGTGCTTAAGTGCTAAACAACATGAATACACGATGTCCATAATATAAAAATACAGCTACGCGAGTGTGACATAAGACGGTGAAAGCTTCGGACTAAGAAATCTAGGTTAATTTATGAATTAGTCCATTGGATGTACCAACTTATGTTATATGCAATAAATAAAGTGGTTACATGTGTTGATAATTTTGGATTATCCGGCAAACGGCTTATCGGATAATCCGCATCCACCGGATTTTAGAGATATTATATCATCATCTGTATTTGCATCATACTATCCACATCCACATCCATATCTGCCGTATTTCTAAAAACCCATACCATATACTCGTTTCGAACGGATTCGGAGCGGATCGGATCGGATATTATCCGATCCGTTTTCACCCCACATCGATTCTTTGTGCATGAATTTTCTTCTCAATGGCATAGACTTTGCAAGGCAATAAACATGATGCAACCAGCATTAGCAACAAGCAATGCTTTGTTAATCTCAACCATGTATCTAATTGCTCATCTGCTGTTCAGTAATCTTGATTTTTAATAGGTATGGTGAACTTGGTGACTGCTTTGGTGGATTGGACTTCTGATTTGAGCCTTCTTTTGGGCCATTTTTTTTTGTGGTCGTGGTTGTTCAGGCTTGCATTTGCTTTAGTTTACACATGCATATACATGATTGCATATTTTTCTGCTTTATTTGGAGAAGAAAGCTTTGCGCATCGATGCTGAACTATAAATTGAACTGCACTAGGAAGATGATTTTGCTGCCTCTTTCTTGGCTGCCTCATTCTGGCAACTACAGTGCAGTATCTTAACATTTTTTTTGCAGCTAAATTGCCTCTTATGTAGTCTGTAGTAAATGGCAACGACAAGTAGGCTCATATTTTCAATTACATCTGTTCCTGGAATGGGACCATTTTCTTTCTAAGTTCTGGGTAGTTTAGGCTAATTAAAAAACTCAAACAGGTGAATAAATGGAAATTCTCTGTTCATTACCAAATTTTCTTTTGAATTTACTTGATATTATGTTGTGTTAGACTTCACATGTCTACTTATTATATAAGCGGACAAGTTTGGCTTTTTCGAAGCCGAAGATATCAAATATTGTGTCCACATACGATAGCCCTTTTCTGATGATAACACAAATGCAGATCCCCCAAGTTTGTTTGAATGCATGCAATTCCAGACATTCAGCTATGATAAACAATCTGGCTACTCTGATGTTATGCTTAAAAACAGACAATCAATAATAAACAGGGATGTGCACTATAATACTGGTGGATCTCCAACCTAACATGAAGTTTCATGAACCATGATCTTTGAAAATCTCACAGTGATTTGGCCTGTCTTTGAGACTGTTTCATTAGGTGTAGCATCAGGCATCTGCAGGAGGAGGACCCAGCCCAAATTGGAAGCCATGTTCATCTACATAAGCCTCCACCAATCCAAAGTTGCCACACCAAAAGGCAAATGATGCCCAAAGGCACTTTGTCAAAGGCAAAGAGCCACCATTGGTGGGTGTCAATGCTAGTCACACATAAAAACATTAAACACATCCCTTGAGATCTAATGGAGGAACTGTTCTAAGCATTTACTAGATTGGAGCATATCCTCTTCAAGTGCATGTGTTTTTGGTTTATTAAAGAAACTTGATTGTTTGTAGCCTGCTTTGCATCTTCCTTTTTGAGTGCCTTTTACCCCCACTTTGTGCAATGGAAATTGATGTTAGAGCTTATCCAATTCCTTCTCTGCACTTGTTGCATTCCTCTCTTATCTCAGCCTGTGACACATTTCTCTCTTTCTGAAAAATGTCATGATCCTTCCTACCGATCTACCTTCTTATGGAACTCAAAAATGTACTCAGCTGGAAAATAAAATTTGCAGATTCTTTTTAGTTGAGATTATTGTATCAAATTTAAGCCAAAGGCTAAAAGGAATTAAAGTATATGCTTTGGGCCTTTTCTTGTAAGGTCTCATTCATAAAATCTCAACCGGCCTGCTGTGACTCGCCTGGAAAGTCATAACAGAATATGCTGCCATAGTGATCTGTGCTTTATTCGTGTAAAGCTTGGCTCAAGAAGATTCTGAGACTATTCTAATCTCATGATTTTTGTAGCAAGTTTCCATTCAGACAACATTAATGTGTTGAATTCTTTTTTTTTTTTTTTGAGAAGTTGAGAGTACAAATGATGGAATATGCTGCAAGAGAAACCTATACTTTTGACACAAAATTTGGTCCATAAAGACACTGAATACTTTGTATTTAAGCTCCATGATCAATGTTACTGCACAAGTAGTCGTACTACCCTCTTGATCATACAGTCATCCACTCATCCTAGAATAAAAATCAACAGAAACTTCCTAGCATCATCTACCGATTTGGCAATGTCTCTAGACTCCCTTTTCTCACCTTTCAACAATCCATTTTAATCATTACAAAATCTATTTATAATTGATATTCAGGAGAAAAGAAAAGTCCTGTGCATTATTCAGTTTAATGTCACAATGAAACATGCCAGGAGAGCTGGGAGGACAGAAGTAACAGGCACACCAGTTGACCTAAATGCTTTAGTAGTGGCTCAAGGATCTAGTGGACATTCCAAAAGCATATCATTGGCTGCATAATGGAGCACAGTTCTTGTGGCACATTGAATTTGGTTGAGAACAGTTTCTGCTGACAGCTGAAAAACTGGCAACAAGCACTATTAGCAGTGGCATTGCAATGTAGCAAACAGTCCTCCCATTTCTGCAGTGCAACTGTGGATAGTGGAAGGTCAGAGCTTAATTAGCAGATAACAAGCTAACAACATAATATATGATCTAGCTAGTAAACACCTGAACCTTTTTTCCTGTCCTTAGCTCTGAAGAATTGGATGCAGATGAGGTTTTAGAAAAGGGCTTTGCTGTATGCATATGCAGACTCAGATATGTTGCAGTCGTGTTATTTTTGCCGCATCACATTCAAAGTACAAACGTAGATGCTCAAATAGTCAAATAGATATGTGCACATTCCTCCCTATGAACACACACTTATAATATAAGTGTTGGAGGAGAATATGGGAGAAATGCCTGGTGGTCCTCCGGCCAGCTCCACAAGGTGGTGGGCTAGACGATCTGAGTTCGAAGTCTTATCCCTTCTAATTATTTGGGGCCTGTTTACTTTGATGTCATTTTCAACCATACCATTTTTTGGTAAAGTTGCTAAAAAATATCTACATTTAGTTTGTTGCTAAATTTGGTCAATACATAAGAAATTATGCTAAAATTTTGGCAATATTGCTATCTTGCCAAAATTTTAGCATTGCCAAAACTTGGTAAGGTTTATTTTGGCTACAATCTGAACAGACTAATATTCACCTCTTCTTTTAGAGAATATGGACATTTTTTTCCTTTTAACCTTTGGCTGTACATTTTATTAGATCATCAGAAATGGTCAGGTTGTGTAAGATATGTGTAGTTCACCGTGCAAAATATTTTTTCCAATCACTGATCCGGTTTCCACTAAGACTGAAGAGACAAATGGGTGCTCATTTGCTAAAACTACCCAACAAGAAAAACACAATTTAGAGCTGATGACGTGGCAAATAGCAGTCTTAACAGATGTTGACGTGTCAATAGCTCGATAGATCTGCATCTTAATGACAGATGCTAAACTTTGCCACGTTGGTAATATTCAGCACACCATGTTCTTTTTAATTAGCACTACGCAAGACGGCTACTTTCAGAGAATGATGCAAGAGAAATAAAAAATGGATTTCATATTTGGCAAATGGGGCACTAAACTATCGCCTTCTCGTCCCACTTATTGTGCTAGTGGAGCAGTGACGCAGCTGCAAATGATGAAAGAAAAAAAATTGCCGTTCGTGTTCATAATTAACATAAATTAATTTCCTAAGAACAATGGGTGCTTCATTGAAAGATGTCACTGGAAAAGTTTTCATTCAGCACATGCTTTGATCGGTTGATGCATACGACTAGTCAAGGAATGCCTTTTCATAAAAAAAAAGGTCGGAGAAATTTCTTCCGAAAACGATTTGATCGATTCATTGAAAAAAAGTAGGCATCTAAATTCAAGCAGTAGATTACTCAAACTTGGATTCTAGAGGTGATAATCACTACACTCACACAACTGTACCAATTTAAACTAGGCTTATTTCCTAAGTGATATTTTCTCCGGCCATAAATATTTACTCCATCCGTTTCACAATGTAAGATATGTCTATATTCATTAACATCAATATAAATGTGAGAAATGTTAGAATGACTTACATTGTGAAACGGAGGAAGTAGTGCTTAGAATAAAATTTAGTTAAACTTTTAAAATTCAGAGCACCAATAACATCTCAATTGTTTAGTTTTAAAGCAAAAGAAAAGATATGCATGGAGTTGCCTCGGAAATGTTGTCATAATTTTTCATCGGACTGGTGGCAGATGTCCTGACCAGATTTATTAAGATGGAAGAAGGTTTAATTGAGAAGAACACTCAAGGTTGTTGTTCAAAAACACTTCCCTACCGACACAAGTCCCTCAGGGTGTAAAGTATCATAATAGTATCATATATTTAATAGATTTGATAAATTTATTTTAATATAAAATTGGTGGTTGGATATTTAAAAGTTTGACTAACTTTTGTTCTGAACATCAAATGTATATACAAGAAAGTTTATGCATTGATGATGTGAAATGCAAATATTTTGGAATTATACATGAGAACATAGGGACTATGCAGACAACATAATCAAGCATGCTGTCATGTTGCCTGGCTGCCCATTAAGAAACTAGTGTTTTTACGGTAGTCTTTACTGTTACTGATAGTATTCTACCATCGGTAAAAAAACCTGCCACCACTAATATTGTCGGTAAAAAAATTGCTTATTATGTAAGGAAAGGAGCAAGCCTAGATGCATGGGTGAGTCGTGATGCCTAATTCTACCAGGCTCCATCAAATATTAAAGTATAATCGTCGGACAAATCGACAAAGATAAGAAAGAGTCATCTGTCAGCCAAACGAGAAAAACTGATCATCTATCTACCAGACAAACCATAAAAGGAGACTGTCTCTGTGCTTGGCCTCAAATTTCAGGCAAAGCAAAACACCTGCTAATCTGTCAGTCAAATGCGAAAATGATATCACCATTCGTCACAAAAAGTGTGGCTGTAATCAAGCCCAAACTCTCTGACAGAAAGCTCGATCAGAAATACACAGGTATATCCTGCAAATTATCCCTCTCATTTCGCTATCAGCATTTAGTTCATCCCAACCTTGCTCCCTGGAAAAATGGAATATCCTGTTCAGATACCTTAAAAAAGAGGCGACACATCACAAGATCCCTTGAATATTCAGACAACCTGCACGAGAAAGCTAAGTGCAGCAAGCAACCAGCAATGCAGCCACATTGTCTCGGGGGAGAGAAGGGTTTCAGGTTCTGATACATCAGGATCTCTACCGAATTTTAACAGGTGATTAGTATTATAATTATTGTTCTTGTTGTTGTTGTTGCTGCTGCACTAAGCATGACACCATTTGGTGGATGTTTTGTCTAGTGAAAAATTCAGAAAACCTAACTCGCATTTTTGTGCAGAAAGCTGGGGAAGTGAGGAGCTGACCAACCAAAAGGCAGATGCAGATGATGAGATTGTGCTGCACTTTGGACGGCGAATTCAGCAGCCGTGTGGATGGATATTCTGCATGCGATCCCGGGATCCTGTAAAGGGGGATGGATGCACTTTCATGGGTATGGAGTGCAGCCAGCATGCTATTTCTGAATGAGATGTAGTATTGTCTTTGTTTGTTTTTTTTTCTGTTGTTACAGGAAAATAAATAGCTTAGAACTTTTACGAAAAAAAAACGTAGTAGTACGTAAAAGTAAAGTAAGGGAAAATTGGAACCATGCCATTATAATTTTGTAAAATTTAAGATATGACTTATGTTTTTTTGGATGAGTATAAAGGTTTTATTATGTGACATTCTGATTTATCATGAGTCTCTAAGCTATTTACTACACTCAATTCTCTTTTACCATTTTTTCCTGCTACCAATCATCTATCTCAAAAAAATGACAACCTAAAATGCGTGAAGTCAAACCTTAAATCATCAATAGATGTCAAACATCAAGATTTGAAATTAATTGGGATATTTAATGCTTTCCTTTTCTTTTATAAATAAACAGCTTGAGAAAATAATGATAAAACACGTGCATAGGAGACTGTCCAAAACATATCCATTTGAGAACAGAGTTAGTGTGTGTTTAGTAAATTTGGTAACACACGCAGATAATGTTTTTTTGGTTTATGAAACACAATACAATTTGCATGGTATTAATCAAGATGCTTTTGTGCACACAGCAGTACAGCACACCGATAGCCAATATTCATGTGTGAAAATCATGTCCATATATTTGTCTCAAAAGTACATTCATAGTATTGTAAGTTTATTTGAGTTTTCAAATGTTTTGAATATTTATTAGTTGTTAAAACTGTATTTTAAAACCGTACCATAGTCCAAGTTGATATATTTTTATGATCATCGGAAATATGCCACATCTCAAGACAGTAACATAAAAAATTGTAGCCCTGTTCTTTTCGGACTATTAACTGGATTATTAAAATAAACTATTTACCCCATGTTTTAAAGACAATGTTTTCAAAGGAAAAACTTTCTCTATAGTATTACATAGACCACTTGTTTTGTACTATTAATGAAGATTATTTTTAAAATTTTTAAATTTTTATATAATTAAATAGACAATTTGTGATAGTAATGTGCTCAATAAATCAAACAGGTCTATAGAAAAAGAAAAAAAGCCATGCAAAATAGAATTCCAGTACAACCATACCGTCTAAACAAAAGGAGAAACTCGACTTAAAAAACTTAAAAAACAAGAATATTATAGAAGAACCTAATATCAAATAAATAGAACGAGTGAGACTTCCAATCTGGATCGGCTAGCCATCATATCTACCTCTACTCTCAAGGGAAGGAAAATAACGCCACAATGGTGCAGCATCTTTAGTTCCATTAACTTGACCACTAATTCACTGTCTTAAATTACTGCTGCAGTTAGGCACACATCGTTTCACTTCACACAAGTGGCAGGAGCAAACAGTGAGAGCATGGGAAGAAAACGAGTAAAAAAAATTCGATTACGTTTTCCAATCCGCACTTGAATTCTTAGGGAAGGAAAAAAAAGTAAGCACAAGAAAGAAAGCACAAAGTGGCTGTGAGGAATCCCATTAGCGCAATTAGGAATTAATTTAGGCGGCCGAATTAAAGAAATCAAAAGAATTTGGAGAGGAGAAGAAGCACCCCAAAAAGGCGAAGCCTTTGCGCACCATAGAAATCACCAGGACCCATCGCAAGAGCAGCAGCCTAGCGGAGCACCGAGCAAGAACAAGCAGCAGCAGCAGCAGCAGCAGAAGCAGAAGCAGTAGAAGAAGAAGCTTTTCTTGCTTTGCTTGCTTTCTCTCTCTCTAGGCTCCATCTCCTCCCTCCACCACTGCGTCTCGAAATATCCGGCTTTCTTGTTGTGCGATTTGGTGCGAGGTGGTGGTGATTGCTTCGTCGGCTGTTGATTTCTTCGAGGAATTGGAGCTGTGTTGGGGGATTCAGGGGGGCTTCATGGTCGAAGGGCTCGGGGATGGATTGAGGCGTGGGAGAAGAGGAGCTTAGCTTCCTCTTCTTCTTCGGTGATCGGGTTTGGGGTTCTTGGAATCGCGAGGAGGCGGGACATGGCGGGAGATTGGGCTTGTCACAGACTCAGGTATGGATTGCATTCTCCTCTCGAATTTGGTTTCTTTCCGGCTGCCCTCCGCGCAGCCCCTGCCCCGGCGAGGCTGGCCGGCGGCGACTGCCACCCCGCCGCCGGTGATGTGCGTGCAAGAATTGCGCTTCAATGGCGAATTTCCTTGTGTTGTCTCGATTTTGACCATCACGTTTACATGGTTAAAAATGGTAGTAGTCTTTAGAAAAAATGGAAGATTCAGGTGTTCATCGTTAGCTCTTGATAGCAATGCGTCTGATTTTTTTTTCTTTTTTTGGGTCAGTCTTTGAGACTTAGGATTGTTGGATTGGGGGAGATTTGTCATATATGAGTACTTTGTGGGTGCTACGAATTGTTTTCGCGCCATTTTTTCTTCTGGTTTTTGGGAGAGCGTGATTAGCACGGAAGGTAGTTTGTTGGATTTGATTAGTTACGTCGGAAAGGTTAAATATTAGCTGCTTATGTCGACTACGATGTTGAAATGTCTGAGATTTTTCTGTACTGTTGTTTCAATCAAGAAGGCACCCAAACTGGCAATTCCAAGTAAAAAAAAACTATGTTTTATAACCTACTAGGTTCGTCTAATTTATGCATGATTGATCATTTCTTGCGTTAATAATATGGGCATGATTTTCTGTTGATGTTTTGTTTTCGCTCGTATGTTAATCCTTTAGATATGGACTTTCAGATGTTTCCTTGTAGTATTAGTTTTGATTTGACCCCTATCTGTATGTGGTCTTTTAATAGTAAAATCTAACCATATAAATGTGCAGATATTTGGAGTAAAATTCTTCTATTTACATTTCTTTCAACGACTGTTATCTGAATTTTTTTGCGTGCAGTTTGATTTTATACTCTCTTTTGCAAGTAACGTTAATAATTTTTTTAATCTTAATAGTTTTTTGTGTCAGTTTAAAGCCTTAAGCTGGTTTGTAAGTACCAATGATTTAGAATTTTAGATACTTTTACTTTCGATTGACTGTTACGTAGCAGGATCATACTGCAGAATGCTCATCTGTGAGCTTTCTATAGGCTCTTTACTCTCTCTTTTAACATCTGCTATGCTGTATTGCAAACTAGCTATTCATTATGTTTCCTGAATAATGAAAATGTGTGTCTGCCGGTCTGCCCCTGTTTGGATAAGAAAATTTCAAGTACTGGCATATAAAGGAAAATGGACTATTTCAGGCAAATATTCATTTTTGCTTGTTATGAGACTTATATTATTTTACTTTAGATACCTTTACTATCAACAAGTGGTGGTTGATTCATATCCTACCCTTTTTTGTGTGTAGAGCTGTAAATGCTTAACCATGAGCATTGTAGTATGTACATGAGTTAGTTCCTTGTAGAACTCAAATTATCGTCAAATCATCATACTAAAGTATCCGTACAAGATTCATTGTACAAAACCTTTTTTTTTGGTAAAATTTTTTTCGATAATGTTTTGGTAAAATTTGCATCCTATCAACAAGCAACATGAAACCATGCATATACATATATGTAGAGTTGTAAATGATCCTTTTTTTTTATATCCTCAAAAAGACCAAAACGCACGCATATGTCCAGCACAAACATTTGTAGCAACATATAAATCTTTATGAGGTTGATCTTTGTGCCTAATAATGCCTTTTGATGAGAGTGTTCTCTAAAGCATCTAAGATACTAATATTTTTCTCAATTTGGATTGTCGTGACCAATTGGACTGAAGTTCTCACCACATGTTTGCAGGGCCTGCTGATCAATGCAAATAGACTTGAAAGAACATTATATTCTCGTGATCTTATCAAGTGAAGCCATATCTAATGAAAGCTTGTTATATTTGTTGCTTTCTTGATGAGATTTGTTGCTTATGACCACTTGTGTCCTCTAATCATCCAAAGCAAAAAAAATCATTCAGCCGGTCTTTACCTCTCCAGGAATTAACACCTGTGACAAGTTATTCCTTGTTTTAGGGCAAATCTCCTTTGGCAATTGCACCTTCCTGTCGATCGATTATCCTGAGCATATTCCTCTTATTGAGAGAACCCTTCAGCTGGGCAAATCTCCTTTGGCAAAATACCTATCTATAGTCTGTCTATTCGGGCAAATCTCCTTTGGCATTTAGCTTAGATTGCTTCCGGGCAAATCTCCTTTGGCACTACCTTTAGCTTCAGATTGCTCTTTGGGCAAATCTCCTTTGGCACTAGGTACTCTACTACTATCCGCATTAGATATTTGGATCAAATATCCTCTGGAAGTTAGTGGTATTACATCATTATTTCCTGCAACTATATATCGTGGTAATTCTCCTTTGGCATTAGCACTGTACACACATTGGTTCTACCACAATATCGATCTCAGTGAAAGACTGAACACCAGGAAGTCCAGAACGATTCAAGGTAATTTGTCCTCTTTTATGGTGTATATTTTTTATGTGAGCCGTCATTTTCTATAATATTTATTCACTTACAAAAGCTTTCCTATTTTGACTCAATTTTCAGAAATAATTTTTGGCTGGTGGCCGTTGTATTTTAGCATCTTGGACAGGAAGCTTTCAGATTCTGATTGTTCAGTCTGGAAGATTGTTTTGTTATTTATCAACTCTATACATCAGTGCGCCTATCCTAAGAAGGTGAGCATGTAGTTAATAGTATATTTCCTTTAAATATTTCTGTGTCTATTCCATTATCTAAAAAATATATATTTCTGTGTCTGATTCCATGTGAAAAATGACAACGTACTTTGTTTTAGGGCTCGGAAAGATGGATCTATATGCAATTGACTCGGACACTGAGTCATACGCTGAAACTAGTGACAGTGAAGAAGACCAAGAAGAATGTGAACTTACATACTGTGGTCATGCCCAGAACATCTTGTCCAGCTTGGACGAGAGCATTGGAAAGATCGATAACTTTCTAAGTTTTGAAAGAGGATTTCTGCATGGAGACATAGTTTGCTCTGCAGCTGACCCATCAGGTCAGCTGGGCCGTGTAGTTGGAGTTGATATGCTTGTTGACTTGGAAACGAGCTCTGGTGACATAATAAAACATGTCAACAGCAAGAAACTTTCAAGAGTTAGATCCTTTGTCTCTGGTGATTGTGTGGTGATGGGGCCATGGATTGGACGGGTGATCAGGGCATTTGACCTGGTCACTGTTGTGTTCAGTGATGGGGCAAGGTGTGAAATGCTCTTAAGAGATTCTGAGGTACTGAAGCCCATTCCTCCAATCCTTTTTGAAGATGCACCTTATTTTTACTATCCAGGCCAACGTGTGAGAATTGTTCATCCTTCCATTTCTAAGTCGGGTACATGGTTGTGTGGATCATGGAAAGCTAGTAGAGATGAAGGAGTAGTGTCTCATGTCGACGTTGGGCTGGTACATGTGAACTGGATCACCTCAGTAACAAATGTTTGGGGAGGTCAATCATCAAGTCCTCCAAACTTTCAGGACCCAAAGAAGCTCACTTTGCTTTCATGCTTCCCTTATGCCAATTGGCAGTTGGGTGACTGGTGCACTCTTTCGGATTGCGAGGGAAGTCTCTGGGAAAATTCTGACAAATCTTGCTTCATGAGTATGACCTGGAAGTCCAGCTCCGACACTCAAACGGCTATCGGAACTTATGGTTCAGATTATTCTCAAACATATGTTGTTGCAAAGACAAAGAGTAGTGTTGATGTTTTATGGCAAGATGGAAGTACATCTCTTGGTTTAGAACCTCAAAGTTTGGTTCCTGTGAGTACTCTTGGTGATCATGATTTTTGGCCTGGGCAATTTATCCTTGAGAAATTGACAGTTGAGGATAATGGTAGATGCCAGCGGACTGGGATAGTGACAAGTGTGGATGCACTTGAACGGACTGTAAAGGTAAAATGGGCTGTTTCAGTTGATAGTGACACTGTCAGTTATGGAGATGGACTCACTGAGGAGACTGTGAGTGCTTATGAGCTAGTATTACACCCAGATTTCTCCTTCTTCACTGGCGAAGTCATTATTAGATCTGCTGTCAACATAGAAAATTCTGAAGCAAATCTTACCAATGGAACCGTGGCAGTTAGCAGGGAGAGCTTGGATACCTCCTCTGCCTTCTTATCATGTATTGGCAATGTTCTTGGATACAATGATGAAGGACTTGAAGTCCAATGGGCTAGTGGTGCGATATCTAGGGTAAGCTTAACTTTGAGAAACTTTCTTCTCTTTTTTTTGTTGCTTTGATTTATTTTATTTACAGAAGTGTTGCTTTACTTTATACCAGTTTTATTTCCAAACTTTGATGAAACATGGATCGGTCCCTGGTCAGACTAATGATAACATAACTTATCTTGTACAAATTTCAGGTTCAGCATTTTGAAATTATTGCATTAGATAGGATTCTAGATGATTCTCTAGAATCCATGATCGAGGAGCACACTACTGATGATTTGGTAGACATGGCTGAGCAGGAGAAAATGCACCTTGAGGATACTAAGGTCCGCTTCTGTCTACAAATTCCATTGTACGGTTATTAAACTTATGGGTTGAAATTTCATCGATGATTTATCATTTTCATTCAGAGTGCGCTGGAAGAATCTGCTGGAGACTGTACAGGATCCTTGCGCAAAGCCACTGCTTTCCTCTTTTCCAAGACAGCATTTAATTTTCTGACAAATGTGGCTTCTAGTTTGTTTGGTGCTCATGATTCAACATTTTCCAGCTCGGTAAGTTCTATTTCTCTCTAGATGATGCAAGCTAAATTTTTATAGAATTCTGAGACAACGGCATTGTTTCAGGTCAATGCAGATTCTCAGTATCAAATTGTGACGACAGCAGAACTGCAGCCATCTGCAGAAGATATCTCTGAAGAGAAACAGACCATGGAGCTGATAACACAGTTTGAGAAGCCAACATTAGCTTCAGAAAATGCCATGACAAAAGGATTTGATGTTGTGACCGACTGTTCTGATCACCACTTTGTCAAAGAAATTGGTCACGAAAATGTAATGGTTTACTTAGTGCAACTTTCTTTCTTTATTTTTCTAGCAAATTGCAATGCCTATTAATATTGGAGTATATGCAATTCAATGTCATAATAATTATTTCTGTTCTTCTAGGTCAAAAGAGGTTGGGTGAAGAAGATACAACAGGAATGGTCAATCTTACAAAACGATCTGCCAGGTTTGTTTTCTTCTCTCATTGTATAGTTTATTCAGTTGCAACTCTTCATTAAGTCTTGTTGTTAAATTTGATATTTTGGCATATGTTTATTTTAATTTTAATTTCTGAGCTAGCATGGCTTAATACTGACGATCCTTATATCCCACTATTTTTTTACTTGATATGACATGTATATACTTGTGGTCAAAGATAGGAATAAGTTAAAATTTTCTACATTCCACAGGATAGCATAGCATGTGAGAATCCCAGAAACAATCAATCTCGGTAGCAAGTATGCAAGGAGATGAGTGGAGTTATAAAGGCAAAATTTATTTTAGTTTTATCATGTATGTGACCTGTTATTATTTAATAAATCATTACTTGTTAATCAGTGGGAAAAAATTTAGTCATGGCACAAGAATTTTGCAAATGCAAGGACAACTGTATAGACTGGAAATTTTCTGCCGAAAACTCAGTAACTCATTCTAGTTTTTAGTTGCAAGTAACATCTTCGAATAATGATGGAATATATAGTTTCTTGTACAGCAGTTATATGATGTTCTTTCTTTCTATTACACAGATGGTATTCATGTTAGAGTTTATGAAGAAAGGATGGACCTCCTGAGGGCATGCCTTGTAGGTGCAGCTGGAACACCTTATCATGACAATCTTTTCTTCTTTGATATTTTCTTTCCTCCTGATTATCCTCATGAGCCACCTGTAAGTTCTTCATTTTTCATTGCTCTTACCTACATCTTCTATTCCAGATTTTCTTGCTGCTGAACAGTAAATAACCATGTTCAATTTTTTCCCCCAGTCTGTTCACTACCATTCCGGTGGCCTCCGTTTGAACCCAAATTTGTATGAGTCTGGCAAAGTGTGCCTTAGCCTGCTCAAAACATGGGCAGGAACTGGTAGTGAAGTGTGGGACCCTGAAAATTCAACTGTTCTTCAACTGCTGCTGTCCCTTCAAGCTCTTGTTCTCAATGAAAAACCTTACTTCAATGAGGCTGGCTATGACAAATTCATGGGGAAAGCAGATGGAGAGAAGAACTCCATCACTTACAATGAGAACGCTTTCCTGCTGTCATGCAAGTCCATGACGTACATTTTACACAAGCCACCAAAGGTGCGTCTCAGCTCTGGAAATTCTGTACACAGCAATTTCTGAAAAAAAGAGCCATTATGGTGTCCATACTGTTGTTTTCTTCTCCTAATTTAAATGATACTCAGAAGTCAAATCTCCTATGGATTCTCAGGGAAAAAGATAATTTTTGAAAATACATTTTTACACATCCATGTTTCAGAATGATTGGTATAGTTCAAAGAAGTTTGGAATCTTGTGAAACCAAAATCTAAACGCTGTTCAGAATTAAGAATGCTATAGCTTTAGTTTGTAATGCTTCATGTGAATTACTGGATCTCACAAGAGTTTAGTATGTTTAATCTTATATATAACCAAGTCAGCTGTAAGAGTCACCCCTTTAAGAAATAAGATGTGTATACTGATAGTTCTTTCTTTTCCTTGATCTAGCATTTCGAGAATTTTGTCAAGGAGCACTTCACTTGTTGCGCGCCGCACATTCTGGATGCCTGCAAGGCTTATCTCGGCGGCGATCTTGTTGGACATGCTCGTGACAGCGCCTATATATCGGATGACGGATGCAAGAACTCCTCAACCGGTTTCAAGATAATGCTAGCCAAGCTCTTGCCGAAGCTTGTCACCACCTTCTCTGAAGCCGGCATCCCCTGCAGCCCGTGACTCATGGCATTGTGAGTTTGTGACACTGGACTACTGTGTATTTGTGACAAAATCGGGACACCAATATATGCTGTGTATGTACTGTATATGTGCAAGCTTTGTGACTTTGTGTATCCCAAAATAAAATGCTGCCTGGTTTGTATGATACTTAACATGGTGATGTCTGTTGTAACTTGTAAGTGTGGTTGAGGCAGCTGGTGTGGTTGGGTTTGTGGTCAGTTACTCAGTTCACGTGTGTTTTGAGCATGTGAAGTATGTAGATCTGCTTATCTGAAATTCTAAGCAGTAGCTGCCTGATTGCCTGTATAGCCTGACAGAGCAGCTATCTGCTGTAATTGTACTACTACTACTGTACTGCTTTGTGAAATACAGTACATACATAGCTGATATATGTAAATTGGTTTTCTCATTTTCTACAGCAGTAAATGTGATGTAAGATGCCAATCATTTCATCATGTTATTCTCATCTCCAGCTTTGTGCTGACACAACGAAATCTACATAACTTCCTCAATTCTCTGTTTAATCGACAGTAATTTTGTGGTTTGCATCTTCCATAGCCTTCTACCCATTATAAATAAACATAACTTTCTGGGCTAATGAAGCTGGTGAAATCCAGCTATAATTTTGGCCGTTAAAAATTGGGGTTAGTTTCATCGTGTTCCTGAAATGAGCTGGGAGAGAGATCCATCGCCTTAGCTCGCCGGAGTGGCGGCGCATGGAATCGACTCGCCGTCGCCGGTGAGGTGAACTTGTGCTGAAGATTTGCAGGAGCCTCCGGTAATTTCGGCTGCCCTAGCTGTGGCTGCGGCGCAGCCGGCACGAACAGTGTCGCACTCACTGTGCGCAGCCGCAGTAGTTGGCCTACCGAACAGACCCACTGGGCCTTCAGGATAGGATGAAAACGGTCCGAAAATTTTTATATTTATGAATTCAACTATTTAATGTAAAATTCAATACAACGTTGATAGAAATTAGACGATTCTCGATTCAGCAAACCGATGAAGTCACGCAGTGTGATGAAAGGATGACAGCTAAAAGCAATCTTGTGGATATGATATCATCTCCTTTGGCTGTACCGAAAAGAAGTCACGTTTAAATTGATCTATGCTACCATCCATCCACCATTCCACCAACTAGCTTGATTTCTAAATACTCAGCTTTACATTCTGCTTGGCAATACGCTGTTGCTTCTCCAACCTCTTTGCCAGACAGAGACGCCTCAGTGAGTTAAATACTACAAGGAGGATTGATAATTGAGTTTAACAAAATGCAGCTGAAAATGAAACTAGCACTAACAAGTAGCCTCACGAGATGAGGACACAGAGATACAGCTATGGTTTTTCTTTTGAACAACATCTCCAGTTTCATGTTAGAAGTAATATTTTTCAGAGGACAGAGAAGGAGAGACATCAACCAATAAACCCAAGAAATCCTCTCATTTTTCAGTTCTCCTTTTTGATTGAAAACCAGTCCGATTTTTTTTTCAAACTCCTGAATCTGTATGAAATGAAACAGTTTGTTCACCAAAGGCATGCAATTCCAGAATCCATCTTTCTTATCTTCTCACCTATCCAAATGTCACACACATTATATATCTGCACATTGCAGCATTTACTGCCCACACCAAACTCCCCTACTGAATTCCAGCAAACCACTGGTTCCCTGCGCTTTAAACCAACCTTTGGCCTGGTTTACTTCACAAATTTTTCTTCAAACTTTCAACTTTTCCATCTCATCAAAACTTTTCTACACACATAAACTTCTAACTTTTTTCTTCAAGCTTCTTATTTTAACGTGGAACTAAACGCAGCCTTTGATTAATTTGTGTGGATATGAATTTAAATTCATATTCATTTGTTCATATTCTACTATACATTTAGCAGAAAACTATGGATCCGTGCAGCTGTATCCCGTCGTTTTTTCTGACGTGGCACGCATGTGGAAGGCGTGGGACCCAGTTGCCTGCCGAAACGCATGCTGGGCCCACCTGTCAGTGGCTTTTACCCAAAAAAAAGGCCTATTTTTTCATATGAACCCCTCAAAAAGTAAACTTTTTCCTCCATGCTCGACACCTGCCACGTAGGATTTTTTTCCCCTTTTTGGGAATTGATTTGATCACAACAAATAGCCTTCGTCTCCCCCACGCTCTCCTCTCTACCCAAACCCTCCCTTTCCTCCCCCAATTCTCCATTTCTCCTAGCTCGCCGGAAACCCTAAGCGGGCCACCTCGCGCCGCGGCGGGCCGGCGAGCGATCGCATTGGGCGGCGGCGGCGATGGCGACCCACGCCCCCAAGTGAGTCCCCCCTCCCTCCGCCGATCTGATCGGCCGCGCGCGCCGCTCTTTGTTCCATTGGAATTTTTGTTTTTGTTTGTGACGTGGTCGTGGTTGGTTGCTGCTCTGGGTGGGGGCAGGGGCTACCTCTGCGCGGGGAGCTCGTCGTTCGATGATCCCGACGTGGTCGAGGTGACGCCGGCGGCGGCCGCGGCAGGGGGGTGGAGCTCCGGCCACCAGAAGCGGAAGCGGAGTCAGGTGATGTGGGAAGGCGCCTCCTCTATCTCACCTTTGTTTGTGGTGCATGATTTTATTATTTTTTTTGGTGATGTTGGAATTGGGAACCGTAGGGGGGACTGGGGCGCGTGATTGCTCGATGTGGGAAGGAGGGTTGGTGATCGTTTTAATGGTTGCGTGTTGATTCCAGTTATGCCATGACCTGTTATTTTGGTGTGGAATTGCACTAGAATTGTGTGGGCAGATGATCTTTGATTGTGCCAGGAAATGGTTGAGATGGACTGGCAGTGGCAGTTTGATATATTGAATTTTGATCTTAGATGCGCTCAATGTTGAATATCAAGTGGAGTTTGTGTTTTTTTTGTATGGTGAGAAGTTGGGCTGTTTTTGTTAGATGATTGCTGAATTATAGTTTATGATTGCAGTACTGAAATTTTTAGAGGGTTTGATTGCATTGAAATGCCTGATAAACCAAGCAGGAGAGAAGCAATCTAGACTGTCTAGACTTTAGAGTGACACCATGTTTCAGCCTGGTTCATGATGGACTAGAATTCATGTTGAAGGAAATCTAGCATGGGACATCTTTGGTTGGGCTTTTGAGTGGTAGTCTAGCATTCTCTGGCACTGCTTGAGTAAAAATCCTTGTTTGTTTCTTATCTGGAGAGTTAGGCATGTAAATGTGATGTTGGCATGTGCAATATTTTCAGTTCCAGAGTGGATGGGCAGACTGAAAGTGCATGCCATTTGATTATTCTGTCTGTCTGTTAGGTCAATTGTTCAATTATTTGACATCTTTACCTACTACCCAATATTCTGGTTTAGACATAATCTGACATATGACGTTGGTAGTAGAGACTGGAAGCTGTAAGTACATGTCATCTGATTATTCCAGCTTAGTCTATTGGGTTGTTTGGTTCTTTGATGTCTTTCTATAACTCTAGGATTATGTTTTAACAATCATCTAAAACTTGTGGTTAATCTAGAGATGCCTCAAGTGAAATTTGTTTGTTTAAAGGTGTCACTGGGCCTTCTTTTTCTTTCTGTAACATATGATATTTTGTGACCAAAAGCCCATCTCCATCAACCATCATTGTTGGAAATCAAGATAGAGTTCAGACTCCAAAGAACATAAAGAGGCCAAATATAAAGATGAATAATTAGTAGTAACCATGTCAGTTTTTATTCTATGAACTCAGCATTGCCGTGACGTTTCTGGCTTTTTCAGCCACCACGATTTCCTGTATAGGATCAATTATTTCCCTTCAAAACATTTTTGTAATATCATGTTATGAAATGTTAAATGGTGGGGCTTGAGTTTTTTTTTATACGCTGAATAGGTTGTTCCTCATGAAGTAATTGAACTGGATGCTGATGATGATCCTGATGGAGTTGTGATTATTGGTGAAAAATCATCAGTTGATAAGAATAAGCAAGCTGTTGGATATCCTATAGACTGGCTAAAGCATGCAAAGGTAAGTTTTCTCATGTCTTCTATTTTCATTTTCCTTTTTCCTATACCACGTCAGTTTGACTTATTTTCTGTGGGAACAACTCCAGAGTAGTTTGGCTGGTGAAATTGCTGGCCCAAGTTCCTACCCATCAAAAAATCCTGATATATTACTTGGTGGCCTGAAAATATTTCAAGAGAACCCATTTTACAACAACATTGATGACTATGCTTATGAGGCATTTGAAGAAGATTATGGTTATGATGAAGATGAGTATGATGATTACGATTATGATAGTACACTTTATGAAAGTGAATATAACTTCACTTTGGCTTCCAAGTTTGATGGTTTGGATATCCCACCTGGTGTGGAGGCTCCTTTACCATGGTTGCAGACGACTGCGGCAGAGATGGCAAATAAGACCAAACCTGTGAACATGATGGATGATAAAATTGATGAAAAATACAGTGCATTTAAGCAATTCGATACTGTTGATGATCACAGTGATCATTATTATTCGAAGCCAGATTTAAGAAAGGTTCAGGTAGTGAAAAAGGTAACCTTTTTTTTGTACCCTCTGTATATTCCTTTTCTTGTTAGTTCGATACTAAGTTTTCCCATTGACAGCCTTCAAAAGAATGGGCAAAGCGTATTCAGCACGAGTGGAAAGTTCTAGAAAAAGATTTACCAGGTAGTTTTGTTGCTTCATATGCTCTTTTTTTTATGAACAGCTAATGGTACAGTGTTTATGCTAAGTGTCGTGCATGATGCGATCATGCTGTTGATAAGTACTACATTCATGAGGTCCTTTTATGATTATTTACTTTGGATTTTTGTCCTATATTTACAGATACCATATTCGTGAGGGCATATGAGGATAGAATGGACCTGCTTAGAGCTGTTATTACGGGACCAGCAGGCACTCCCTATCATGATGGTCTCTTCTTCTTTGACATTTACTTCCCTCCTCATTATCCGAGTGTACCTCCAGTAAGATTTTTTTTTTGACTTAACCAGCATCGATGATGTTTCACTCCATTTTTAAGTATCTTACAATAGTTAGTAATCTATGCAGCTGGTGAACTATCGGTCTGGTGGGTTGCGGCTTAATCCAAACTTGTATGCTTGCGGGAAGGTGTGCCTTAGCCTGTTGAACACCTGGTCTGGTAGTGGATGTGAGAGGTGGAGTCCTTCAAACTCAACAATGCTACAAGTCCTGGTCTCAGTTCAGGCTTTGGTGTTGAATGCCAAACCTTATTTCAATGAGCCTGGATATGCCATGCATGCTAATACACCTCATGGCGAGAAGAGTTCATTAACTTATAATGAAGATACTTTCCTGCTATCCTGCAGGACAATGCTATATTCTCTGCGAAATCCACCAAAGGTATGGATATGACTCTGTTCTTATCCTAGTACATGGAGATGATTACTTATTTTCATAATAGTACTAAAGTTGTTTGATGAATATCTAGACATCTACTGTAAAATCTCTCTTGTTTGATGAATATTTCATCCATTAAAGGTCTCTTTGCAATCTCCTCTCGAAATATACATATTTATTGATGTTTCTCATTTTCGCACTCGTATGTTCCTTTCGTCAATATTAATTAGTAATAATTTACACAGTTACACTAACTATTCTCAATTATTTTGAAGACATTAACATTGCGATCATCTTTACCATTCCTTCTACTAGTCTTTGTTATTATTATAGCATCCATAATTACCATGCCTAACCAAAATATGTCACAAAAGGAAATGGAGTGATTACTATGGGAAGCTATTGTTGTGCTTATGTGGTTGCATGCCATGGATTCCCCACTATGAATAGATATACCTGTACATCTTCTTAACAATTTATCTTTTTGTTGTGGTTCTTTTACAGTGGAAATATGTGTTGTTTAGTTTCTGTTATTTTGGATCCAATCTTCACATCTGCAAATTTAATACTAATGCATTTTTTTTGCAGCATTTTGAGGATTTTATCGCCGGTCATTTCCGCAAGTATGGCCAGAGCATCCTGATAGCTTGCAGAGCCTATCTGGACGGTGCCCAAGTTGGATGTCTTGTTGGAAATGGTGTGCAGGATGTCGATGAGGGCGACAAGAGCTGCTCGGCGAGGTTTAAGAGCGCGCTGAAGAGATTATTTGAGGAACTTCTGATGGAATTCACTGTCAAGGGAGCAGAGTGTGACAAATTCCTAGCTGAGAAGGCCAAAGCCGCGGCTTCTAGAGCTCCAGCAGACACCACATTGAGGCTATAAGTTGATAGCCTCGCGTGGTCGATAGACGGGAGTAATAATTTCGCTATTGAAATAGGATCCTCAACTCATTATGCCCCCGGATTCTAACCGTTTCCTGGAAGTAGCCTATGTAAATAGCCTTGTAGTTGCCCCGGTAAACATAAACGACATATCCGTGTTTGTATTTAGGGGCTATATATCTTTTTTCCCCATAGCATGAGGGTGTCGTCTACCTGCGGAGCCTTAATCCGCTGTGTATGTGATTGACGCCACACCATCTTGGCCTTCTGAAGAATATCATATTGAACTCTTATCAGCAGATCCCTGCTTCTACGCTGGAATTCAGCTAGAATGCTAGATTATCAGTTGGTTTGTGCTCGTGCATGCCTGGCTCCGTTCAATCCTACTAGTATATTTTATATATATCTGGTGGTGGTACGGAGCATATGGGTCTGTTTGGAGGAGCTTCTAGTTGCTGCAGCTTCTTCTAAAATCAAAAGCTCTCCTAAACAGTCTAGCTTTTGGTTTAGATTCTAAGAAGATGTTGTTGTGGAATTCAGAAAATAAACTAGAAGCTGGAAAATCCGGTTAAAATGATTCACTGCTTTTGGGGGTGCAATTCACTGCTGTGTGATGGTATTTCAGCTCTAACTCATGACAGATGCCAATTAAAATGAATCATTCCTATACCTTTTCTTTGTACCCATGCGGCCATGCCTTTTTCTGTACACATTCCAATTGCGATTCTCAAAGGTTGCACTTTTCACCCTCTAAAGTGCAAAATATAAACCTTCTAAACTAGTACGATTTGACGATTTATAGTATGGCCATTTTAAAAACAAATTTCATCTGAATGCAAAATCGAATGTGGCTCGATAATGGCTTTTACAAATAAATTTGGGATAAAATTTATAATGCATTTAGAGACACGCTTTAGGGAAGTAATGATAGTGTATTGATGGAATCGTGGGTATGGCTGCACCTATTAAAAAATTCAAATCCTGAGGATCAAAATGTCATATTCATACTTGATGTGTTTTAAATTGGATTTAAGTAGGGCTAGTGAAAGAAAAATGCCATGTTGCTCTTCATCACCGTCATGATCACTTGGATGAAAAACTAAAAAAAAAGGGAAAAAAGAGAAAAAAAATTCTCATCTACCCGGAGGCTTAAACCCATAGTAAAAAAAGCCGGACCGGCACTCGAACCGTCGTGGCTGCTGGGTCACCGGGTCAGCGGTCCAACCGCCGGTTCACCCGGGTCAATTGCAGAACCGGACTACTAATTTCTACATATATGTTCTTTCGTTAGCTCATTAAAACAAGTAGCAGTGTAGCCCAATGGTAACATGCAAGGGTTTCTAACCTAGCCATCCAGGTTCGAGTCCCCACAATAGCAGTATTTTTACACATATTCTTCTAATAGTAGGTATTGGGCCTTAGAAGGTAGTGCCTTTGGGCCTTCGCATGGCCCATGTCTTTGGCCCACTAAGCGAACCGTCGGTTCAAAATCAGCAGGTTCACCGGTTTTCGTTAAAAGCCGTCCGGTTCATCCGGTTCACCCCGGTTCAACTGTACAAACGGTCTTTGAAGCAAACCGAACCGGCGAAGTCCCTGGTTCCGGTTTTTCCCGGTCGAACCGCCGGGCCGGTCCGGTTTTTTGTACTATGCTTAAACCCCACAAAGTCAAGAGGCTGATGCGACTGCTTCCTCCCCTCCACCTCTCCATTTCCTTCGGGAAATCCTCCCCACCAAAACAAACCAAGAGAGAGGAGCGGAGATCTCACAACTCCGCCTCCTCCCAAATGGCGCCGCCGCGCCGCGATCCAAACCCTAACCACCTCCTCCTCGTTGCCGTACTCCTCCTGCTGGTCCCTGCCACGGTGGCGGCGGCGGCAACCTACTCGGATCACTGCCACGGCCTCCCCTCCGCGCCCGACCTCGCGGGCGGCGGCGGCGGCGGCGAGGGAGGCGCTGATCCGACCTCGCTGCGCCTCTCCCTCCAGCTCAACACCGGCTACTTCTCCGGCGGCGGGGCGCGGCTGTTCGGCCCCGACCTCTCCATCCCGCCCCGCTCCTTCTCCTTCCTCCCCTCCTCCGTGGTGCGCACCACCGACGCCTCCCTCCTCCACGTCTCCGCCACGCTCACCGTGTCGGGCGGCCGGAGGAGGAGGCCGCCGAACGATGGGCGGCACCTCCTCGTCGAGTACGACGGCCAGGCGCACCGCTTCCGCCCCCGCCTCCCCCGCTTCGCCGGCCGCCGCGGCTCCGTCACGTTCGGCCTCGAGGGGTACTACTCGTCTGCCTCCGGCGAGCTCTGCATGGTCGGCACCGGCTCCGGCCGCGCCGCCGACGGCACGGCGGTGAACCTCCTCTCCGCCGTGCTCCGCGTCCGCTACCCCGGCCGCGCCAACCTGACGCGCCCCTTCGTCACCGGCAGCCTCGAGAGCACCGACTCCCCCAGCTTCTTCGAGCCCGTCTCTCTCGTCACCTACGCCGAGGAGGGATACGCGTACGCGGAGAGCGCCTCGTGCCCGCCGCCGCCCACCGGTAGGCTCGACGCGCTCCAGGTGTTCGAAGGTAGTAAATTCTCATGCGCACACCTCAGTTCGCTGTTCAAGGCGACGTTCAGGCTCGACTACACCAACGGCAGCAGCGAGTCGACCGCCTCATCGCTGGGGCTTCACCAGAGGTTCATGTTCATCAACCGGATGCGATGTGCCGACAATGGCGCAGTGCGAGCTTATGTGGTGTTCGCGAATCAGACAGATGTATCGGCATACTACTTTATGCTTGGTGAGAAGGCCATGGTAGTGGAGGGTTTCTGGGACGAGAAGAGGAGCAGGCTGTGTCTCAAAGGGTGTCACGTTGTGAATTCGGGACCATCCCGTGCGGATTTGGCGGTGGGCGAGTGTGGGATTGGGATGAGCTTCTGGTCCCCCGCTGTGTGGTCACTACAGGAACGGAGCTTTGCTGCAGGTTTGGTCTGGAACACGAGCCTGAAGAGCGGTGAGGGCATAGCTGCAAGCTCCAACACAATAGCTCCATACTTTAGGGGAAGTCTTTCGGGTCTGAAGTATAACTACACCAAGGTTGATGAGGCAAAGAAGTATTATGAGAAGTATGGCTTGAACAAGAAGAGAAAGGGAAAGTTCCCTGATAGCAATTCATATCGGGACTTAACATTCCGGTTCTTCTTGCAGAAAGGAGGGGGCTCTGGATATGCATCACCAGTCACAATTGGGTCAATGCTATATGATGGGAACTCTTTGGTTGATTCAGATCATTCCTATCATATAATGACAGAGACGAATCATAGGTTACTTAATGTCAGCTATGACATTCACTATGTCGGGAATTGGTCGCTAGAAACATTTCGCCGTCAGCATATCTCTGCAGAGGGTGTTTATGATGCTAAGACAGGCTCCTTGTGTATGATTGCTTGTCGGGTGGTTAATATCTCGTTGGACTGTGAAATTCTTGTAACTGCTCAGTTTTCTCCTTTGGATACAAAAGTAGCACAGCATGTCAAGGGGACAATTAGAAGCTTGAGGAAGAAGACTGACCCTCTTTTCTTTGAACCGCTGGACATTGCTTCGTATGGGTTGTACATAGACAAAGTGGATGAGTCGATGTGGAGAATGGACTTGGAAAGCACCATGGCCCTGATCTCGATGACACTATCCTGTTTGTTCATTGCTGTGCAACTGTTCCATGTCAAGAAGGTTCCTGAAGCGCTTCCTGCCATGTCAATCACCATGCTTGTAGTTCTCTCTTTGGGTTACATGATACCTCTTGTGTTGAACTTTGAGGCCCTCTTCAAGAACAGTAACAAACAGACATTTCCACTTTCAGGTGGTGGTTGGCTTGAGGTGAATGAAGTCATTGTGCGAATCATTACCATGGTAACCTTTCTGATGCAGTTACGACTTCTTCAATTGGCATGCTCTGCACGTTCCATGGATGTAAGCAAAGATCAATCATGGGCTGCTGAGAAGAAAGTGCTTTGGATATGCTTGCCACTGTACATTATAGGTGCAGTCGCAGCTTGGGTTGTTCACATGCAATTTAACAACAACCGAAGGATGCTTAGAAAGGTTGCTCGCTTACCTCGGGTTAATAGACATGCATTCTGGGAGGACCTTGTGTCATATGGGGGATTAATACTCGACGGGTTCTTGCTCCCTCAGGTTATCTTAAACGCATGCTTAGGCTCCAAAGTGAAGGCACTTTCCCCGGGATTTTACATTGGAAGCACCATGATTCGTGCGCTACCTCATGTGTATGATGTGTTCAGGGCTAAGCATTTTGTGCCCAGCTTGAGACCATTTTACAGGTATGCAAACCCTCGCGATGATCTCTTCAGCCTTGCATGGGACATTGCCATACCATGTGGAGCAATACTGCTGTCGGTTCTTCTGTTCCTTCAGCAGCGGTTTGGAGGCGCTTTCTTCATTTGTTCGAAGAACAGGAAGGCAAGTGAATATGAAATGGTTTCCACAGTTAGCTCTTAACAAGTTTTCATCTGTGCAAGAGAAATATAGAGAAGGTTTCTATAGGCTAAGAAATAGGTTGCTTCTTATGTCTATGTTTGCTTTACACACTTACATACCTGCCTTGTTGAAGCAAAATTACATACAAAAGAAGCTATTCAGGTTGGGCATTCAGCAATAATGTTTAAAATGCTCCGTTCATTTCTATGTGCTACTAGTCAGTTTACAATTACGCTGTTATTATTCTGGTATTCAGAGGCAGTCGAGGTGGATTTCTGACCCATGAGAATTTACATCTGCGTGAAGTTATGGCAAATGCTGTTTTTGGGTAGTCATTGCAGATCTTGTTCAGTTGTCCGGGTTGCAGGCCATGTGATGCATAGTCGATTCGGTAGCTCACTGCTCACCATTGATTTTGTTTGCCGTTGTCCGTACGTTGCAATGCTCACCATTGATTTGTTTGCCGTTGTCCGTACGTTGTAATTCACCGTACGAGTATGTAGTGTTTTAAAGCAACAACATTTGTTAGAAGCTTGACGGTTCTTTAGGAGCACAGAAATTAGGAGGTTCAGCCAGCGACGCACACGCAGATGCTTTTGGTCTTTGCATGATAATTTAGTGAGAGAGAAGAAATTTACCGTTAGCCTCCGTGTTCCTTTTCTTTTCATATGTTAAAGAGGCGCACATGCGTATGTAAGTCGTTTTCATATTTTTTTTAGTTAAACCTATTTAAGTTTGATCAAGTTTATAGAAAATATATAGTGACATTTTCGATACAAAACAAATCAAGATATTAAATTTTAGTTTTAAAGAAACTAATTTTGGTGTTGTAGATGTTGTCAAATTTTTTTATAGATTTATTTAAATTTAAAAAGTTTTGACTTGAGAAAACTCAAAACTGATTATAATATGATGAAACGGGAGTAATATACATACAGACAACGGTTTCAGCATCATCTAAGCCCTAATTTTCCCTGTGGTGAAAGCTAGTATATTTTTTATTGGGCCCAACGCGTAGTGGGCTGGCCCGAAGCCTAGCCCAAACTATATCAGCCCGTTAGTCCATCCTATCTTTGTTAATTGTAATGGTAAGTTTGTACTCGCTCCCTTCCAAAATAAAAAGGATATTGGATAGATGAGACACATCTTAATACTACAAAGAATTTGGATAGAGTCTATCAAGATTCATAATACTAGTATTATATGTTCCATCTATTAAAAATCTTTCATATTTTAGGAGTGGAAGTAATAACAATTCTACTCGTTTGTGTCCGACTCTCCGTCAACGAGGGCTTAGGTTTTTAAAACTAAAGCATATTCAGGTTGATATATGCCTTCTTTTTTTTGTTAGTCGACTAGTGTGAATTAATATCATCTAATTTAGGTGAATAGTTAAACGTTATAAGAAAAATTTAAACAACATCTGATTTGGGTGGAGGTACTAGAAAGAAAGAAAGAAAGAAGAAAGAGAGATATATATATCATAGAACCGCGCCCATCTCTACGCCAATCCAACGTGCACGCCACCATGTGGTGAGGCAGAAACACAGTCGCATCGCATGGACATGACAACATCCACCACATTCCATTCCAACCTGACCCCGTCTGCCTCACGGCCCCTGGACTGGACCGCGCCGATGCACGCATAAACCCCTCGCCCTCGCCCAACGCGCGGTTTTACCCTCTTTTTTTTTTTTCTTTTGGCCCCGTTTCCTCCCAAACTTCCCCTTCCTCCGCGTCGGTTGACTCCGACCGGCAGCCAGGCCAGCCAGAGATATTTAACCATTTGCCACATTTAGATGTGGCAATTAACTTTTTGTTACTTGACCCCATATATCATAAACACATGTGGATCCACATGTCATTGAGATAGGGGTGACAAATAGTTATTTGCCAAATCTAAAAATGACAAATGGTTAAAAGCCCCGGCCACCCAACCCAAACCCCGTCGTCTCCTCTCCCGCTCGCTGTCCAATCATTCACAAGCGAAAGCGACTAGCCCCACCTCACTCCTCCCCTCGCGACCGCGTCAATGGCCGCACCCACGCCGCACGTCACTCCACTGACGACGACGTCCCGTCCCCGCCCGGCAGCCACCACCGGAGGCCTCCTTGACTCGGCCGTCGCCATCGTTCGCCTCGTCCTCCTCCTCCTCCTCCTCCCCGCGGGTAGCTTTCGCTGCCACACACACACACACACAAACACAACGACCTCGCCCTCGCGAAGACGACGGACGGACTAGCACTAGCGTGGCGGGGGACGGGGCCACGCCGTTTATAGCGCGACGCGGACGACTCGGTGGTGGTGGTGATGATGATGAGGGTGTTGGGTTTCATGGGAGATGGTGGTGGTGGTGGGATGATGACGGCGCAGGCTGCGGCGGAGGCGGCGGTGGGCGCGATCGGGTGCGGGTACGACCTCACGAGCGACCTCCGCCTCAGCCGCGTCAAGGCGGGCGGGAGGCTGGTGGACATCGACGGGGCGAGCGGCGCGGCGAGACGGGAGCTGGTCCTCCCCTGGGGAGCCGTCGTGGGGGGCGTGCCGGTGGGGATCGTCGCCGACAAGGGGGAGCGCACCCGGTTCCGCTCCGACGTCCTCTCCTTCGCTCAGGTAACGACAGTGCCTCACAGGTGTTCGATCGGGTGATCCCTTTCAGTTCACTCGGAATTGAGCTTGAGAGTTTTGTTGTGTTGGGTGGTTTCCCTGCCATGGCGGTTCGCAGATGGCGGAGCAGGTGAACCAGACGATGTCGGTGGCGGGGAAGATCCCGTCGGGCGCGTTCAACGCCATGTTCGACTACCACGGGTGCTGGCACAAGGACGCGGCCGCCACGGGGAGCCTCTGCTTCGACGGCCGCTTCATCGAGCTCTACGCCGTCGAGGCCCCCCGCGCGCACCTCGCCCTGCTCGACCGCGTCAAGCGCGACGTCCCGCCCTTCTGGGACCCCGCTGCTCTCGCCGAGTCAGTACGCCTTCCCCCGTCGCGCGCCGCGCGCCCGGCGTTCGTCGCGTTTGCTGCTACCCCAGTGGCCACTGACTCTAGTGTACTGACATGGTCGCTGCCGAATTTTCTGTTCAGATTCATCGACAAGTACGGGACGCACGTCATCGCCGGGGTGAAGATGGGAGGGAAGGATGTGGTCTGCATCAAGCAGCTCAAGGGATCCAATCTCACACAGAGCGATGTGCAGTCTCGGCTCAAGAAACTCTCCGACGACAAGCTCGCTCAGGATTCACCTGAAAGTTTAACTGCAAGAGACGACAAGTTCTTGCTGGGATTAAACGTGAGCTCTCTACTCTAACATTATATGGCTTCAAAATTAGCTTTCTTAGGTGGTGTTTACATCCAGGGACTTAACTTAAGTCTCTGTCTTTAGACACTAATTTAGAGTATTAAATACAGACTACTTACAAAACTAATTACATAAATAAAAGCTAATTCACGAGACAAATTTTTTAAGCCTAATTAATCTATAATTAGAGAATGTTTACTGTAGCATCACATAGGCTAATCATGGATTAATTAGGCTCATTAGATTCGTCTCGCAAATTAGTCTAAGATTATGGATGGGTTTTATTAATAGTCTACGTTTAATATTTATAATTAATTTTCAAACATCCGATGTGATAGGGACTTAAAAGTTTTAGTCCCATCTAAACAGGGCCTTAGAAGCTTCAGAATTACTGTATTGGACTTTCATAACCCATGATTCGGTTTCTGAAGATACAGGCGCCATTAATGATTGTAAGTAGCCTTGCTAATTGCTGTGATGTTGTGCAGGGGAGTTTATTATTGGGTCCTGGATCTGCTGCTTGGCGGTCGTTCAGACCATCAGTCGTGTCACACAAAGATGTAAGGCAATCACACATGTACTGACGATGTTCATTGCGTGATTTATCACTCCAACAGCAGGAAATTAATGAGAGAGCCATGATTAATTTGTTTGGTCGCATGTCCTTTCGTTTCACAGGACATCCTCAGTATCCACATCAGAAGAGGGGGCGTTGATAATGGCCAAGGCCACAGTAATTGGCTTTCGACGATCAGCGGTTCACCGGACGTCATCTCTATGGCTTTTGTGCCGATTACTTCTCTGCTCACTGGTGTTCGAGGCTGCGGGTTCCTGAATCATGCAGTGAACCTCTACCTCAGATGTAAGCACTTTGTTAGTTACTGCTGGTGACAAACAAAACCATGCCAGTTCAAGGATCACATCGTATCTCAAGTACTGACATAGCTAAATTACTCAGGTTACAAGTCTAATTATCTGTCTGTTTTCTGCTGGTAAATTCAGACAAACCTCCAATAGAGGAACTCCATCAATTTCTGGAATTCCAGGTGCCACGACAATGGGCTCCAGAGTTTGGGGAGCTCCCTCTGGCTTTGGGCCCGAGAAAGAAGAAGAACAGCCTGCCATCTCTTCAGTTTACTCTCATGGGTCCTAAGCTTCATGTCACCACTGCCAAGGTAACAATCAATACCGGCATTCTGCATTAGTGAAATTCGTCAGTTTGATTCCATGTTGTTTGTAGTAGAACTCAGCTCACAGTGTGTTCCGTTTTGTTTCGTGCAGGCTGATTCTGGGAATCGTCCGGTGACCGGCATTCGGCTGTTCCTGGAAGGCAAGAAGAACAACCGGCTGGGCGTTCACCTACAGCATTTGTCAGCGACGCCGGGCACGATCACGATCGCCGGCGAGGTGGCGTCGGCGGAGGACGCCACCGTGAGGGAGCGCGACTACATCGAGCCCATCAAGTCGCCGCTGCTGTCGCACGTGTGCACGGCGCCGGTGCAGTACAACGGCGCGCGGATCGACGACTGCGCGGCGATCGTGACGAGGGCGTGGCTGGAGGTGCAGGAGACGTGCCTCAAGAAGGTGCTCTTCCTGCGGCTGGGCTTCTCCGGCGTGGCATCCACCAAGATCCGGCGGTCGGAGTGGGATGGCCCGTTCGTCGTGTCACGCAAGTCGGGCTCGCTGTCGGCATTGTTCAGCGCGCGGCTGTCCGCCGCCGGTGCCGGTGGCTCCGCGCAGATGATGCAGCAGCAGCAGCCGGTGGGGGAGAAGGTGGAGGTGAACTCCGCCATCTTCCCCAAGGGCCCGCCGGTGCCTCTCCCGGTGCAGAGGATGGCGAGGTACGTCGACACAACGGAGGTGATGAGGGGCCCCGCCGACTTGCCGGGGTACTGGGTGGTCACCGGCGCGAAGCTCTGCATCGAAGGCGGCAAAGTTGCACTCAAGGTCAAGTACTCGCTGCTCATCGCGGAGGTGCTAGACTACCCTGAGTGACTGTTGAGAAGAACTGCACGGTGTGTGCATCTTTTTGGCTCGTTTGTGATGCTGTTGTGTACAGTACAGTACAGTACAGGTAAGGTCGGCTCAGCTCAGCGTATACTTGTACAGATTGGGCACACGCTAGTAGTCAGGTATACTATTTGTATGTATAAACCACAGAGTAGAGCAGTACACTACCAGCAGGCAATTGTTTTGGTTTGCACTTGGATTCTAGCAAAACTAGGAGCATACACAGTTGTTGAAATTGGTTTCCTTAGGCATGCAGCTCAAAAGGTTATGTACGATTATTTCTCACCTCTGGTATTGCCCTGAGATGGGATCATTTTTACTGGCAATGTTGAGAATGTGAGACGGTTTGGTAATTTGGCATCAGCAATCATCCTTGTTCCCAACAGTATAACAGGAGGCCTTTTACATTGTTTGCGAGTTACTTAGAGAAGGAGCTGAACCGTTGATTAATAAAGGGGCAAGATAAGAAATAAAATTATTGTAATACGATAGCAATGGAATAATTAACTAGTGAAATATGGGCATTTCATGTGAATTGAATACCTGCTAGCTCCATTTATCAGTTTTGTTATAGAGAAAAAAAAACATAAATCATAGATACTTCGTTGATTTAGCGTTCAATATGATCCGTACTGATGAAAAAGAAAATCAAAGATCGTGTCTCATTTCTTCTTTACCTTCACTTCATTCTTGTTCTAGGATGTAACTGGTTCAATGGAAGGAGAGAGAGAAGACACCGGCATGGTTGAGGGTCGAAGAGGAGACGAGATCGTCCAATCGATGGCTAGTTGCAAGCGCATGATTAGTTATTTATGTAGTTCACAAATTTGTTGAATAAGGGGTTGAATCGAGATCTCCTATATGTTTTTTGTTCTAGGGTTTGAATGGTGCACCCACAAGGAGACACGGTCGTGGAATATTTCATCTTTCTAGGAATAAATCGATAAAATGTGTAACTTAAATCGATGCAAATCTTCGGTGATATTTTAACCAATCATGTTTGTGAAACACAATATAAATCTCTTCTTGTAAAACAAAATATATATCTCAAAAGAAATAAAGGGAGGAGTTTTGACATGTTCTTTAGAATATAGAGTAATATAGAGAAAATAACGCAAATAATAAAATTTTACGCTAGTAACGTGTTCTTCGAAACAAAATACAAATATAGAGAAAATCACGCAAATGAGAACATTAAAGTATACGACATAAATCTAGAAAAAATCACACAAATGAGATCTACTAATCTAGTACTAGGCAAATGACTTAATTGGTTGATTAAAATTTAGAGACAATTCTACCATTTTCTCTCAACTAGCATATTTGTCATAAATACTTAACTAGCACATAATTAATTAAGTTTTAATATAGAGAAGCTTAATTGTTACTAACATATGGCTATATGAGGAAACTTGATTTTTACTCTAGTTATTGATACGAGCTATGCTGAAAACTACCTTTATTTATTTACAAAGTGCATGCGCAAGATTTACTTTTGAATTTACAAGATAATCATGTGTATTTAGGCCTGCGCCACTGAATTTGTCGGAGTGTGAAGGATTCAATACTAACCTTTCATACTTCAACCTGCATCACACCTATAAACACTCTAGTCCTGCGCGTTCTTCTCAAACTTCCATTATCTTTACTGAGGAATACTTTTGGCATTTATGTTTCCCATTTAAGGTGTTTATAAGACATCTGATCATATGTGTTAGCAGTACTTTTAACAACAAAATATGTTATATAAATAATAAGCAAGAAAATATTTGCTTAAAGGAAAAATAGTGAGAATTCTTGGAGTTGGTATGATTGACTATACATTTAAGAAAGCAATTAGTAATTTAAACAATGTTGGGTTTTTTAGAGTTTTCTAAAGCGGATGGATTTGCAGCAGATTTGAAGCTAGTCATGAAAAACTCTGTTGCGATTATAACATGATCAAGAATTTATCTGTTGGAGGGATGAAAATGAAAAAAAAAATCATGTCATTAAGGATCTGGTGGGTAACTTAACTTGAGGTTGGTTAGTATTTCCTGCTTTCAATGTGTGGATGGATAAATTTGAACAGAAAAAACTTTCTTTCGATGATTGTTAGGGTTTTCAATTTCCTTAAAAATAAAACTTAATAAACAGAAAAACTTTATTTCGAGGATTTTTAGTGTTTTCAATTTGCTTAACAAGAAAACTTAACGTAGACGTAGAAGATTTGTATGAGATAAGAGATTTGTATGAGATAAGAACCGACCTACTTATCAATATGAATCATGACAAACATTTAGCTGACTATATATACAGTGGTAGGAATTACTTTAAATCTATCTACAATGTGGTGAAACATTTAATATAAACTCCGTTTGAAAAGTTATATATAATATTCTTTCAGTTTTGTAAACAGTAATAACCTTAACTTATATTTAACTTAACTCATATTTTTATGTTTTATAATAAATAATGCTTACAGAATTGTGGTTTTATATGTGTGGACAGTTACAAGTTGGTTGGATGTGTGTCTCATAGTTTATTTATATGAGGAATTGACAAATGTATATTTACCATAATGTAATTATTGTTAATACCGTATGCCAAGTTAAGTTTTCGACCTAATTTCAATTGTATGTTGCTAAAATAAGGTTATTGTGATCTTTTTCTTAATATTTCTTTTTTAGATGTACATGAGTAGTCACTGTTGCATATAATTAATATCTTTATGCAGGATTTTAGTAATGTACTTAGATGGAGAAGCGATGGCTAACTGTTGTAACAAATAATGGACACTTTCTACTTGAGTTGGTGTGTTCTTTATAAAGTAGTAGAATTAGCTAGGATGATGTTTTAAAGAAGTAAGTTAGCTAGGAGGATGTTTCAAAGGTACTAATCAGGAATAACACATTGACATATTTGTTGTTGATGGACTAAAACGTCTATCGAAAGGTAGGCTTCACTCACAAGGTGGAATATAAAGCAATAAAAATGTGTTGATTTATATAGTGGTAAAAATGTATTTCTTAAAAATTGGATCCCCAATTACACACCCTTTGGGGTCTATTTATAGCTGTGCAGGCTTACAACCCCAGGGGCTAGGGTTACTGTTCACTCGGGAATTAACTTAACTATCCTTATAATAGGGACATTTATAGGGGTAATAATCGTCTTATGGCCCATCCTACAGGCCCATGGGCCCTAAAGGGTCCTTGTTGGGCCATTTGTTGGGCTTCCAGTGTGAAGGCCCCACCGAGGAATTTGTCCTTCTTCGCCATTCGATGCCCCTTTGTTGCATGCTTGGTGAAGACGCTTGTCATTGGCCTAGCGAAGTTACTTGCCGCTTGCCTTCGGCATTTGTGCGGGTCACATCCTTCGGCGTCCGACTTCGTGACTTGACGGGTGTTTCAAGAGTCCGGTCGAAGGTTCTCATGACATGGCTCCAATAATATTTTTTTGCAATTAGTTGGAACCCTGATAATCTTGGAAGCAAGTGGCGTGTGAGTCGGTTATGGTGCCAAAGTTTCACCTTGTTGGCCTGGCGAAGCTACTTGCCGCTTGCCTTCGGCATTTGTGCGGGTCACATCCTTCGGCGTCCGACTTCGTGACTTGACGGGTGGAAGGTTCTCACGGCATGGCTCCAACAATATTTTTTTTGTAATTAGTTGGAACCCTAATAATCTTGGAAGCAAGTGGCGTGTGCGTCGGTTATGGTGGCAAAGTTGCACTCAAGGTCTACTCGCTGCTCATCGCGCAAATGGACTACCCGAAGTTGAGAACTGCACGGTGTGTGCATCTTTTTTGGCTTGTTTGTGATGTTGTGTGCGGTACAGGTAGGGGTGAAAACGGGGCGGGTATTTCCCGACCGCCCGCCTGGCCGTATTATTTTGGGACAAATTCGGGTCAGAAATTCGGGTACCCGAAACTTTATACGGATATAGGGTTCGAATATGGGTTTTTTTGGAGGATATGAGATCGGGTTCAAGAGCGCAGTATCTGACGGATACGGATTATCCGGGAAAAATACGGATATTACCCGATTATATATACGGATAGTACCAGTATTATATGTTACAGCCGTACAGGCTTGAGGCTAGCCAGCCCAAACGGCCAACCACTAGCCACCAGGCGCCACCAGCCCATCAACCCACTGGCCCAATAGGCCAATACTAAGAGCAACTTCAATAGAATGGCCAAATGGGTGGCCAAGCTAAATTTTAGCAAATATGAGGGGAAAATATTCTCCAACAGTCTCTCCATCCGGTTAGCCAAGCCATCTGGATGGCCCAATCGCACCTCTCACTGGCCAAACTTAGAGTCTCTCTGCCTGGCTATTCGTGGGCCCCACCACTCCCCCTCCCGCACCATCTCTCCCTCTCCTAGCTAGAGCAAGAAGGCGTCGACGGTGCTGCTCGTGAACGGCGATGGCACAGAGGAGAGAGACACTGGAGCCAGCTGCGACCACCGCCGCCGTCCTCGCCGTCCCAGAGCCAACTGCGACCGCCGCCGCCGTCCTCGCCATCCCAGAGCCAGCCGCGACTGCCGTCGCCGTCCGCTGCCGTCCCCGCGTGGATTTGACTGGGCGGCGTGGATTCGGGAGAGGAAGAGTGAGAAAAAGAGGAAGAGGGAGAGAAAGAGAAAGAGGAAGAAGAATGGGTATAGAGGGCTAACACATGGGTCCCGCTATCACCTGTCATAGACTCAAAATAAAGAGGATAGATGGAGAGGCTGTTGGAGTAAACAATGAATTTGACTTGACAAATGAAATGAAAAATTAGCTAAATAGACATCTGGAGAGTCGAATTTAGAGAGACTGTTGGAGATGCTCTAACCCTAAGAAATAGGAGAGAGCTTGAGGGAGATCGAGAGTCAGAGAGAGAGGTGTGAGGCCGTGCGGCGTGCGCCCGTGCGTGAGGGGATTTCCGCCGCCGCTGCCCGCTGGCCTGCCATGCCCTTGCGCAGGCTGCGCCAACGTCACCTGCGCCAGGCGCCACCACGCATCCATGCCGGCTGCGCCACCCTCGCCACTACGCCGGCTACGCCACCTGCGTTGTTGACCTGCATCGTGCAGCTTGAGCCCGTCGCCATCGCCAGTGCTCGTCGCGACGGCGCTCGTCGCCACCTCTGCTGCACGGCCTGCACCGGTGCCCGTGTTGCCTCTCCCTCCATCCTAGCAAACTTCTCGCTTCATTGGCCGTTAAATCATCAGGTAGCGAATAGTGTTGAGGCTGAAAACAACTGATGATTTAAGTGGCGCTGGTACTTGTGAATTTGTGATATGTTTCCTGGTTGGCAAGGCTTATGTTGTGAGCGATATTATGATGACATAGTGTACTGATAAGTGATATCAGGGGCGGGCCTACAAGTCTACAACAATTCAAGGTA